CATCATCGTCATCATCGATGATAAACATTATCGTGCATCACTCCCGGCATCAAACCGTCCTGATGCTTAAGATGACTAGCGTTGCAGCTCTGCATCACCAACAGTCATGATGATAATGATGACTACGCACCCTCTGCATCTCCAATCTCATCATCACCGTTATCATCATCGATGATAACCATCATCGTGCGTCCTCATCGATGATAACCATCACCACCAGTCATGATGATAATGATGACTACGCGCCCTCTGCCTCTCCAATCGGGTCTAACGGGACTTTTGAATCGTATATGAAAAAGATAAGGTACTCATAGCCATGGCCCATCATCGTCATCATCACGGTCATCATCATCGATGATAACCATCATCGTGCATCCTCTGCATCACCAACAGTCATGATGGTAATGCTCATCATAGCCGTGGCCCATCATCGTCATCATCACGGTCATCATCATTGATGATAACCATCATCGTGCATCCTCTGCATCACCAACAATCATGATGATAATTATGACTACGCGTGCATCCTCTGCATCACCAACAGTAATGATGATAATGATGACTACGCACCCTCTGCATCTCCAATCTCATCATCACCGTTATCATCATCGATGATAACCATCATCGTGCATCCTCTGCATCACCAACAGTCATCATGATAATGATGACTACGCACCCTCTGCATCTCCAATCGGGTCTAACGGGACTTTTGAATCGTATATGAAAAACATAAAGATAAGGATCCTCCCATCATCGTCATCATCACGGTCATCATCATCGATGACAACCATCATCGTGCATCCTCTGCATCACCAACAGTCATGATGATACTGATGACTACGCGTGCATCCTCTGCATCACCAACAGTAATGATGATAATGATGACTACGCACCCTCTGCATCTCCAATCTCATCATCACCGTTATCATTATCGATGATAACCATCATCGTTATCATCATCGATGATAACCATCATCGTGCATCCTCTGCATCACCAACAGTCATGATGATAATGATGACTACGCACCCTCTGCATCTCCAATCGGGTCTCACGGGACTTTTGAATCGTATATGAAAAAGATAAGGATCGTCATCACAGCCGTCGCCCATCAGCGTCGTCATCACCGTTATCATCATCGATGATAACCATCATCGTGCATCCTCTGCATCATGATGATAATGATGACTACGCATCCTCTGCATCTCCAATCAGGTCACAACGATTATAATGTGATGATGATGACCATGTCATCATCACCATGATGGTGGTCATTATCGTCATCATCATCATCATCATCGTCATCATCATCGTCGTCATCATCATCATCATCATCGTCATCACTACGCATCCTCTGCATCTCCAACCGGGTCTAACAGCACGCTTGAAACGTATATGACACAGATCTGATCAGATAGGAGAAAGATAAGGATGACAACGATAATAGTAGCTCGGAAAATAACTATCATCGTAGCATCCTCTGCATCACCAATGCTTTCTAACCCCACACTTGAAAGGTGTAGAAAGACACATCTTTGAGGTGCAAAGGATGCTACGATGACGGTATTGCTTACGCTGATAATGTTGAATCTTCGGATATGCTCATATACCAACCCACCTTGAACTTGTGCTATCTCCAATCGGGTCTAACGGGAATATGAAAAAGATAAGGCGTCATCACAGCCGTCGCCCATCAGCGTCGTCATCACCGTTATCATCATCGATGATAACCATCATCGTGCATCCTCTGCATCGCCAACAGTCATGATGATAATGATGACTACGCATCTCTGCATCTCCAATCAGGTCACAACGATTATAATGTGATGATGATGACCATGTCATCATCACCATGATGGTGGTCATTATCGTCATCATCATCATCATCGTCATCATCATCGTCGTCATCATCGTCATCATCATCGTCATCACTACGCATCCTCTGCATCTCCAACCGGGTCTAACAGCACGCTTGAAACGTATATGACACAGATCTGATCAGATAGGAGAAAGATAAATATTTATATATATATATGTATATATATATATATTAATATCAAATTATATTCGACCCCATGTCGCACCGAAATCCCTGCTCCAGCTGCCTCCAGTCCGCCTGAAGCGACCCTGGAAGCAGTCGGCCCCCATTGCCGGGACCCAAAACCTGGCCAATTTCCACCAGAAACCCGTCAAGTCTCTTTAGAAACCGGTCGAAATCCGCGTAACATTTCGGTCAAACTCCTCTGTGGAAGTGATCAAGTCCCTCCAAAAACTGTAGAAACCAGTCAAACTCCCCTCTAGAAATCTGTCAAATCCCCTTAAGCAACAGTCAAATCCCTAGAAACCGACAATCCTTCCCCCAGAAACCAGCCAATTTCCCTAGACATTTGCACCTTGCGGCTCTGGCCGAGGCGGGCAACGCGAAGCGTTTACAAACATATATACATGTATATATATATATACATATATATATATATATATCCGCCGACCCCTTCTCCTCAAAGGGGGAGGCGCACGGGAAGGGTGGTTACAGCACAAGTCCAAGGTGGGTTGGTAAATGAGCATATCCGAAGATTCAACATTATCAGCGTAAGCAATACCGTCATCGTAGCATCCTTTGCGCCTCAAAGATGTGTCTTTCTACACCTTTCAAGTGTGGGGTTAGAAAGCATTGGTGATGCAGAGGATGCTACGATGATAGTTATTTTCCGAGCTACTATTATCGTTGTCATCCATACTATATACACAGAGATGGATAGATAGGTAGATAGATAGATAGATATTTAGTTATATTTATTTGCATGTGTATGTGTATTAATTTTTTCATGGAACAGGGACAGGCGAATCTCTTATCGGAATTGCCGAGACACACGTGCCTCGTGAATCGCCGTTGTCATACAGGAACAGCCCCCAAAAAGGGAAACACCTTGGCTTGCTTGTCGCCAACCCCAAAAGTTGCGGGGGCGCCCTTACCAAAAGCTGGTGGTTCAGCCCCCTTCACCAAGCGGAGTCTCCCCAAAACACCGCGCAGCTCACGCCAGACCCAGCAGCTCTTCCAAGTGCCCAGCGCCATCTGGTCCAGCTGCTGCATCGCCCTCCGGCGTGGTTGCGGCGGATTTTGTGTTTTCTGTTGTTTCGGCCAACCGGTGTCTACTTTTTTGCAGGCACCTTTGTTGGGGTGTCTGAAAAGGGAAACCAAAAGAAAAACCACCGTTTTGGGAATCCCCCATGTTGAGACAGTTGTTTTGGGGCAATCGCAGGATCCAGGGCTAGAACTTTATCCTTTCTTTCGTTTAAAGATGTCCTTTGTGCCATTTCAATAACAAAAAGGCACCCACCCGGTGGCCCACTGCAAGCCCAGCAGTCAGGGAGAGGTGCATGTCTGTGGGAAGGGCTTATATCCATTGACTTGTTGCCCCTCTTCATGTGCAGTAGAGCCCAGCCAAAAGATGAGCATTTCATGCAAGCCTACCAAAAGCCCAGTTGCAACCACGTGCGAAACTACCTTAAATTGCCTTTCCAGCGTTCCACGTGTTGTTCAATGTTTTGTGGGCACGTGAGTCATTCTTTTGTGGATTCCCGCCCAACTCTATTGATGGACAGTGGAGTTGGCGCGTAAACTTCCAACTGCTTTGGAGCTTGAGCTTCCAACAAAAAATCACCCCTATTCTACTTGGGTGTGAAAACCACGCAAGTGAGCAACCATGGGCAGACTAGCCCCAGTTACCCCCAGTTGTATGAATGGCTAGAACCTTATGCCATTTGTTTGTCCGCATCAAGTCGCCTCAAACTCTGCGTTGATAGATCATACACCCCTGAGCCAAGCTCGGGTGAGTAAACTCCCAACAAAGCGGATTCCAGCCAATCTGAACCGCGTTTCCGCTAAAGCTGAACAGGGCCCGTTCCGCTTGAGCACCCCAAAGATTGAAAACCCTGCGCTTCCTTTGGTGGGGGAAACCAGTTTTCATCCGGTCTCGTTTTCGATCGTTCAATGTTCTATTTTTGATGTTAACCAAGGGGTGCAAATTGGGATTAGCCCTTGGGTCTCTTTCCAGTGAAGAGTTCCAAACCCGGGGTGTCACCTCGCTGATCCATCCCATTTTGGGCGCGGCCTTCGACGAATGCAGCTGAGGTGTCCATGGATGTGGAGCCCAGTCACGCCGCACAGGCCTTCTTGCCGATTCTGCAAGCCAAGGCCGGCAACGTCTAGGTTCGCAGGTGAGATGTAACGCCGAATACCCATGCTTGTTTCGGGGAATGCCAACCGCTGATTAGAAAGAGAGGTGGAGAGAGATCTCAGAGCTTTTCTTACCATGGTCAACCTGGCTTCTCAAAATATCTCAGATAGCGGCTTCCCAGAACGCGCTTCGCAAAGCGGCGCTTTTTCGCGCGGTCGCCTGAGAGGCGCCATCCAATCCCATCGTACGGCAAAAAGGGTGATCTTTTCCACAACCAAGAGATGGTAAGTACGGCGTTTGAAAGGAAACTGACAAGCAAGGCAGCCGTTGAGGTCCCAAAACTAGGGACCTTTCTGGTACGCAGATGAAGCAATCCAGTTGCAATCTTGCATGTCTTCTGCTATTTGTTTGGTGCCTTAAACTTTAACTTTTCCGGAGATGTGAGATTCTCCACTGATCGACAAACTGAAGAAAATGACTTCAGAATGTGACTTTGGTTCACCACGCTTGGGGCCTGGATAATTTCCTTTGCTTGCTTCGCACTTCACTGGACTGAAGCACAAGCAAGTTGCATGTGATTTGGAGCCAAGGGCAGCCGCTGCAACCTGGGATTTCGTTTGCAGGGTTTGCCTTCAAGATGCGCGTCCAAACTGGTTCCCCCGCACGTGTTTGTGTCGACGTTGCCTCGTCCCCTTATGCAAATGCAGCATAGACGACTCGCGATCGACACATGCCGCCGAAGCTTTCTCCCTATCCCATGGGAAACCTTGGCACTCCCATGCCCCGCCTGGTTTCTTTCCAACAACCAAAGGCACACACGTGGCGGTTGCTCCATGAGCCAAGCGGTAGCGAATTCGTGGATTGGGTCCTCTTGGTGTTCCCTTGCCCGCCAAATGTCTACCAACTTGCGAAGACTGTAACACCAGCCCCGAGAAGTGTGCGGGCTTGGCCACCTTGTTCCACCAGTGGATCTTAGGACCCCCAAGACCTAAGAAGGACCCCTAACCAAAGGATTTCGCGGGAGGTGCGCCTTGAAAAGGCCCCACGGGATCCATTCCGGGCAAAAAGGAAGCACGTCAGGTTCCGACCAAAAAGCGACGTCGATGAAGGTTTCTTAGCCCTAATCTTGGTTGGTGCGGTGTAATCACGGCTGGCAATCACTATGGCAAGGAGGAACCAAAAGGTTGGTACATGAGAGTTTACCAGTCCCAGCTTTGAGGCAGAGGGAGCAGCGGAAAAAGTTCCATGGATTCAATTTGGGTCTTCGATTGGTAGCACCCTTTCAACAAGAGTCATGTAAAGATTGCCCATCTCTCGAAAGGCGTCGCCTTTCGGCAGGATGAGAGGCACCAGCGGCAGCTGGTGCTTAGAGCGCAGGAGACCAGGCTGTTGGCTCCTCTGCCAAAATAGGCCGGGATCAGTTTTCCCGGGTGCATTTCTGTTCATGTTAGGTTCAAAGTGAATGGATTTCTTATCAAGTTCTGATATGTTTCACATCCCCCCTCGGGTTGCAGCTGCCACGACCACAAAGGTCCCGAGGTGAAGGGCAAAACCGTGTGGATGTGGTTGTTATTGTGGAGCGCGTGTCCTTTTTGAGTAAGCCCCGTTTTGGAGTTGCGCCGGGAAATCAAAGAGACTCCAGCCTTGGTTGGCTAAAGTGGATGCGGAGCCAGAGTGCGTAGGAGCGAACTACTCCAGATTGCCTCGAGTTTTCCTTCAGGCGAGTCGCGCACATATTTTGTGTTGCACTTCCCTGATCCCTAATTACCTTGAACTGAACAGCGCAGTAGTTCCTTGAATTCTACAACTCTCAGCAGCAAGATCTTGCCTTGAAATCAGCAACTATGACATTATGACGTCATGAGCAGCAATACATTACCTTGAACTCAGCAGTTATGAGCAGCAAGATCTCAGGTTGAATTCCGTGCATCTGCGCAGCAAGATGCTACCTTGAATTTTGCAACTATGAGCAGCACGATATTGCCTTGAATTCAGCAACTATGAGTAGCAAGACTTTACCTTAAATTCAGCAACTACGAGAAGCAAGATCTTACCTTGATTTCTACCTAGCATGCAGCAATATAAGCAACACGATATTACCTTGACTTCAGCGACTATGAGCAGCAAGATATTACCTTGAATCGAGCAACGATGAGTGCAAGATATTGCCTAGAATTCAGCAAGCAGCACTATACTGACTCCCATTCAGCAACTATGGAGTACCTTGAATACAGCAACTACGAGCGGCAATAGACTAGCTTGGGGTCAGCAACCATGAGCAGCAAGATGACCTTGATATCAGCAACTATAAGCAACCACATCAAGTGACCATGTGTCTGTTTTCAAAGGGCCCTATTGCTAGCTGAAGTTGGGCGTACCCACGAAACAGCTGGGTGTGTCTTTTGTTGAGGCGAAGCCCCCTTGTTGGGGTTGATTGAAAGCAAACCGAACCTTTTTGGGGGGAGTGTCACATCCTTTCGGCAACCTCTGCTGAGGTGATTGAAGAGCTACTGCTACACTTGCTGGGCAAGATGGCACCTGGACAAAAGCGCGTGGGCCATATTAGCGATATAGCCTCTGGATCCCAGGTAAAGTAGGTAACCAGCCGTTGTTTTTTGTCGTTTTTACAGGGTGAATCCCTTCGGCTTCCTACCATGCAGTGAAATGGAATCACTGAGAAATGCGCAAATGCGAGCTCGCAGAAGGTCCAAGTGCCTCCTGGGGATGGCTGTTGGGGAGCAAAGAAGGGGGGTCTGCGTACCTCCTTACAAGGTACTGGGACCCTCTAAGTTAGTGGAGATCAGTGGGTTGATTCACAAGTTTCATGGGGGTTGATCAAATGGTCCTTGCACGGATTTATGCATTCGGTGACAAAGGTGTCGGTTGAAATCCATGCAACAAAGATGGCGATGGGGCTTGCAACAGTTAACACAATACCATCAAAAACGCATGTAATATCATGCAAACTACCTGGGGCGCTTACTAAATTACCATCAAGCCGGCCACTCACCAAAATCCAATGTTAGTTGGCGATACAATGAATACTAACAGTTGCTCACTTAGGAGACTCGCGTGTAAAAACCGCTTCTTTGCTGCAGCTGTTGTTTTGGCAAACCCAATTCTTCTTGGGCCGCTTTTGGCAGGAGAATTCCGACTTGCAGAGCGACAAGGCGAGAGATTGGGGACGGGCTCAGTCCCGCGTCTTTCCTTTTATTCAACCTGTTGGGCTTCCCTTGGTCCATTTTTGGCCGAGGGCCCAAAGGTTTTCGTTGTGTTCTCAAAAAGTCGGGGGCCCACCGCGGCCCATGCTTAGGGCTCCTCATGATTGGACTCTGTGTTTTTCCTGTTGAGCTCTCTGTCGCGCAGTGGCCCCCCAAACGCCCGTGTTTTTGTTTGCGGAAAGAATATGTGAACCCCCAAAAAGGGTGCCCATTTCCACTGGAGTTGTCCACAGGGCAAGCCGTTACACTGGCCAGGAAAAGGCATGAGGAAAAAGTATGCAGCCATGGGATGATTGCGTCTTTTGAAAAGATTGCCAAACAGAGAATTCATCAGCCCAAAGCCACAGGAAGAACATGGTTTTGAACAGACCAATCATCAGCCCAGCACCCTCCAACTTGTTTGCCTTTCCCATGTCCAACCCCCCAAGTGCTGGTTCCAAAGGGCACATACTACCGGTGAGCGCATGTCAAGTTGTTTCGAGGAAGAAAAAAAACATTTAAGTATTTCACAATTTTAGTCGGTGGTTCTACTACCTGGTTCAAGTGGGGTTATTGTAAAGCTTGTCACACTGCATCAGTGTATTCCCCTTCCGAGCCATCTTAGTACCAAATGCTGGACTGTGGGCCCCTTTCCCGAGCTTCCCAATAGCGAAAGGAAGTGTCCCGTTTTCCGGTGGCTCTCCTTCGTTTAAGGCCCTCAATCCGCTTTTCTTTGTTGGATAAGGGCCATGGTGACTGGCAACGGCTCAAAATTTAGTGGCTCTCCAAATGACCAAAGCAAATGGAGGGGCGGCTTCCTGGAAGACAAACACCTGGCTTCCCTTTGATCTTCTTTGGCATTCCGTGTGGTTTTCCTCGATTCCCAGGAAGCCACCAGTTTGGCCGACTTCCCAACAAGAACCTTTCGCAGAGTTGCGCAATCCAAGAAACATCTAACATTTCAGATGACTGGAAGCTGCCTTTTTCCTTTGGCAAGCCAACCAACCAAGCAAATCGATTTGTTGGGGTCATATTCATGTTTCGACACATGGATGTGCCTCAAACTGCTTACAGGGGAATGGCTCGAAATGATGTGCTGTCTCAAAAATGCTCACTCTTTCCCTTTAAATCCCCCCACCCCACCCCCCCCACAAGACAAAACTCGGACTCCCAGAAACCTCTTGGTGTCCCATTCCCTTAAAGAAACCGGCAACCCAAGAGGTGGTGGTGCCGCTACAACAGCTCAGCGCCTGCGCCGCTCGCCTGGCCATCTCCACAGGGGTGCCTTCGGGCTCCAGGAGAGAACCGCCGGCTTTGTTTCGTTGAGCGAAAACCTGCCACAAAAACGCAGGCAGAAGAAAGCAAGAAAGGTCTTTTGGGGGACGATTTTGACCAAAGACAGGCCCGAAAGCAAACCTAGCCATTTTTGCAGCCTTAAGCGCGCGCGCATGCGAATGATTCTGTGCCGCCTTTTTGTTGATTTACATGCTCAGCGGAAGCCGGAGCTTCCGCACCGCACGAGTGCTTGTTTACATCCAAGCCGGAACTGCACCAGCGCATCGCGATTTGCAAGCCACATCTCTGCGCCAGCGCTCTTCGCGCACTACTTTGGGCTCGCCCAAACCAAGGGGATTCGAGCTGGTCGCGCAAGCCTTTCGAGCCCAATTCCCGACAAGAAAAGTAGCATCAAAATTGACCGCACACGAATGACAATCCACGCCAATTCATGCCAATCCACGCCAATCCACGCCAATCCACGCCAATCCACGCAACTTGCGCTGGCAGCCTCTGATGTAACTTGCTTGTGTAACTTGCTCGAGCAATCTCTCGCGTAACTTGCCTGTGCAACTTGGCTTGCGCAATCAGCACAAAGTGTTTCCTGAAGAACCCTTCTCAATGCTTTCGGGCTTCGATTTGCAAACAAACACGTTGCGGTTGATTGGTTCTTGATGCACGAGGTGGATCCTGGAGGTGCGGTCTGGTTTTGTTCAACGCGCAGTTGGCTTTTGGGTTCTTAAATGTTGTCTGATGTTCGTGGAGTCGTTGCCAGTCTGGAAATGGAGTGGCTCACAGGATTCGAAACTCCACTGCTTTCCGTGTCCAAAACCCCGTTCAAATCTGCGTTTTTTGAAACCTCTGCAAGTCATCTAACCAGAAGCTGTGAAACATTGAAGGGTTGGATTTCCGTGCCATCTTCCAAAAACAAAACTGGTGGTCCTTTCTCAGTGCAGCCCAAAGCAGAACGGTTGTGACCATTGGAAGGGGTTGTAGCAGCTGTTGCTTACACAGAACTAGTGTTGTTGCTCCATTGTTTGAAGCAAGTTTGAGGGCATTTGGTGAAAGTTTCTCTTGCAAGCCTCATGCGCGGCTAGAACATGGCGCCCCTTGTCAAGAGACCGATGTGGGCTTTGTGGTCATTCCCAGCCAGGGCGCAGACATAAACTTCACCCTTGCCGACATGGCTCATGGGCCCATGGCGTGATCAAAAATGCTGGGTGTTACGTAAGGGATGGTTATCAGATTACGTGTTCTAGTGTCCACAAAGGGAGCGGTCGGACGAAACATTCCCTAAATGTCCAAGGAACATTTCGTCCAAACAAGCGCAGTTGAGAAACCGGCGGCCCAATATCAAAAGACATCCACCAATCCCTATATCCAACAGACAAAGCGTTCTTGCACTGGTTTTATGATGTTCCCAGTTGACCGTTTGTACAGGGGACGACCGAAAAAGTCCGCAACCCCCACTTGAAGAGTTCTGATTGTATTGCAGATGAGCTGCGTACAAAAGCATGGAGAACGCTCGAGAGTCGGATCGTGGAACATGTGCGAAATCGAATGCTTCAAGTATTTCCTTAGAGCCTGGGCCCTCTGCCACACGTCACATTCGTGTGGAAACTAGAGGCCTCCACTGGTTTGACACATGAGCCGACTCAGTTGTCCCGGGCATGGCGCGCAGGAAGTTTCTACCATTGGCACGTTCCGTGGCCTTGCTTCAAAGCGTGCTGGTCGACACAGAGCTGCTGTTTGAAGCCTTCAAAGGAGCGCGTTCTGCCACTTGCAGTGTTTTCCTTTTGAACGCTTCTGCACTTTGCCCTTGATCCAAAACAGGGGTGTGTGTGTGTGTGTGTGATGTTCTTTCTTGGTGCAGCCATTGGTTCTTTTTGTTTGTGCTTGTTTCTTGTGGGTCCCGACAGGAAGGGGTTGTTATTAGATTTTATGTTGGAATCCGCGTTTGCGATGCTTCTACACCACGCCCCCACCCAGTATCCCGCCAGAGCAGCTCGCCAGTGGATCCCGCCGAGTATCCGCCAGAGCTGCTCGCCAGTGGATCCCGCCCAGTATCCCGCCAGAGCTGCTCCAGTAGATCCCGCCCAGTGTCCCGCCAAAGTAGCTGGTCAGTGGATCCCGCCGAGTATCCCGCCAGAGCGGCTCGCCAGTGAATCCGGCCGAGTATCCCACCAGAGCAGCCCGCCAGTGGATCCCGCCGCCGCCGAGCATCCCGCTGAGTATCCCAGAGTAGCTCGCCAGTGGATCGATCCCGCCGAGTACCCGCTGAGCATCCCTTGCCGGACTTGTATCGAGCCGGAGCGGCAGTGGATCCCGCCAGTATCCCACCAGAGCAGCTCGCCAACCTGGGGCTGCGAATAAGCAACTTTGTTTACTCCCCCGTTGGGTTTCTTTTTGGAAGGGGCTTGGCTTTTGTTGACGTAACCGATGTTTGAGTTCTCCAGATCGGCTCGTAGACAAGTGGAAGTGGCCGATGGGACGGGAAGGGGCCGATGGGAATTCGGAGTCGAAGTCTCTAGGATGCGGGGGAATTTGTTGTAACGGCCGCAACCTCGTGAGTGTGGAGGGTGGGGATTGCTCGAAGCGAAGTATTTTTTGCCTGGAGGGGTAATATGCTTTCACACGCGGTGCGACGATCCGAAGAGTATTGAGAATAACTACCAAAACAGTGTTGCATGCATCCCAGTTCCGGCCAGAAACCTGCCCTGCAACCGCGAAACCTCGTCGACTCACTCGAATGCTTTAGCCATGGCATTTGCGTCGCACGGTGGCACCCACCCAGAATCTTCTCAGTTTCTGAACCAGGCAGCGGTCCACAGGGGTCCCTAGCTGACAGCTGACAGTAACGGCATGACCACGAGGTAAACAATCACCCAGCTGCAATGGTCAGGACAAGCTACCTTCCTTGGCCAGAATTAACTGTCTTGCGGAAGGGTATGCCCAGCGTGTGTCACTCTTGATGTATCATTGGTTGATTGTCGGACGCATAGTCAAACATTGGCACATACTGTCCGTACGTTTGTGTACGAAACCATAGGAATAGGTACGCCAGGATACAAAGCATGATGCACAAGGTTTAACGTTCTCTATCTCGCAATGGTCACTAAAAAGCAAGTCACGATCCGCTCTTTGCCCTTCGTGTGTAGATGCTTGAAGACCGGACTTTCACGGCAGCCCCCGGGATCAAAAAACATCCGTGGGGGGGTCCCTGGCAACGGGATGCGCAAATTGCATACCGAAGATCGGCTGCTTCACTTTTAGACCTCCCAGAGTCCAAGGGGCCCCTCTTTGGGCTACGGTGGGTTTCCTTGCAAGCTGCATGTGGGAGAAAGCGCGTGGCCTCTGTTCAAATTCCTGCAGTACAAAAGTGTCATTTCTTTTTCTGCGGAATAATTGCATGTTGAGTTACATGCAAAGGCATAACCTTGCATCCATGTAAAGATTGCTCTCGATTACATATGGCCCATCCTGGGTTCGTTGCATGCGCAGAGGCCTTTGGCCGAATTCTGCCTTGTTTTTGAGCCAAACCCCAAGAAAGAGTGAGGGGTAGGGCCGATACGAAGAAGGACGAGACGTTGCCAGGAGAAGTGGCCCTCACCGAGAATCACTCCATGCGGCCTTCAGTGGCCAAGCGAAGAAGCTTTCCCTCAGTCCTATTGGCCTAGCATTGTTCTAGTATTGATCTAAATTATTGGTCTACTTCCCAACCCGCTCCAGTCCACCGGGGGCCTCAAAGCCCACCTAAAGGGACCTTTGGACGTTGTCCCCATTTTGGCAACCATATTTGTTTCCCATTTTGGTCCATATTCCCTTTTGACCTTTTGACGTTTTCGGTCATTTTGGGCCCAAAGCCGACCTTTTCACCTTTTGGTTCACCTTTTCATTTTGACCTCTTGGTATTTATTCATGTTGGTCCATATTTCGTCATTTTGTTTCTATAGGTGCCCAGCAGCAGCATCTCTGGGTTGGACAGGACACATTTGGACCGGGATGGGCAAGCACCAGTGTTTGCCATTCACTTAGCCCAATCATGTCCAATACATCACATTGTTTCTTGCCCTGTCAAAAAGCGACATACAAACATTAAAAAAGAAGAAGAGAAACAACTCGGTGGATTAGTGGCACTCTTGTAGCTTCACCGCTAAAACCCACAAATAGTGAACCCCACAGTTCGGGTTCCCTTTGGGTCACCGAACTGCCGAAAACTATCTCGAAACCAGGTTCCCGTGTCCGCCTTGCTTTTCGTGAATCCGAGCCTGTTTGAGTTTACACTTCTTGTTACCTCATGGCTTCCCATTGGCCCACCCGCCCCCGCCTAGGTGAAGGATCTTCTGCAACAACTTTTGAAGCTCCAAAGCCCCGAAGAGGCGAGCCGCACCGGAGCCGTAAGTTACTGGACGTGCGTATGTGTGCATGCACACACACACACACACAGCACTACACACACATACACAATCCATGCATGCACACATAAACAAAAACACACATACATGCATACGTAGACACATACACGCATAGGTACGGGAGTACTTACATAGATGCATGCATAGCATCAGGGCCGGTGGAAAGATGCGTCCCTCTGCACATCCTGGCTGCACCTGTTCTGAGCAACGTCATTTGTGCAAGCTGTTTGTTTTCGGAGAGGTGCCTTCTTTTCGGATAGCACTGCCGTTGCAGTCTCAAAAGTGGAGCTTGCACTGTGTGGCCCGATGGTTGTCTTACTGTCGTCGCGAATCCATGGTTTGAACTTGACCCCGCGCCTGGAATCGGTTTTATGGTTGAACCGTCCATGGAGTCCTTAGCGGTGCGCAAAGTAAGGGGTAGACGCAAATCATTGATGTCCCCTTAGAAACCAAAAGGGGGGTCCCAAAAACGCACATGTTCAGAACAACCGCGAGGCAGTGATGCAGCTGCTGGAGAAGCTGATGCAGGCATTGCCTCCGCAGCGGGCGCTTCTCTTCCGGCAGCTTCTGGTCGGCCGCGAGACAGGCGCAAAAGATGCTGTTTTTCCCGTGACGGGGATGGGGGGTTGACACCTTTCCAAGGTTCGCGTATTCGTCCAGAAGATTTGAGTTTGTTCCTGGTGATTTCCCCGTGGACTCGCAAGGTGTGCCTTTGGACTGGCAAGGGACGGCGCAGCTTTTGGTCAAGGCGCGGATTTTCGCTCGGAGCGCAATGGGAAAAGCATCCGGTTGCTGGCGGGATCTGTTGGCAGAGACTTGTGGTGGGTTGCCACATGGAAAAAGTCGAGGGCAGCCCTTGGTCGGCCGGGAATCCGAGCGCTGGTCTCACAGAATGAGATGTGTGATTCATTTAATGAGAAGGGCAGGGCTGCCCAATGTACCCGAGTACACCCGTTGGTCCAAGTGTATGAGCTGGAATTGGGAAGCACCTACAGAACAAATCGGTGGTCGCAGCGGCAAGTTAGCGGATCCCCTTTCGGTTCATTCGCACAACTATTGTTGTTTTAAGGGAATAGCCTTGGAGTTCATTCTCCCAGCCCCTGTTGCCTTTGCAGGGACCCCCTTCCATTTCATTTTCAATGCCCCGGATTCAACACTGGAACCAGCAGTTGTTCATGGGATGGAGCTGATTCTCGCAGGGTATGGAAGCGCCGAGCGACGCGAAGGAGGCCGTTTGGCGCCTGAATCGATCCGCTTGAGTTCTAGGTCTATCCAATAAGGTGGCTCGTTCGGCTGTCAGCTTGGAATTCTCATGAAGTCCCAACTGTGCGGAATCCGAAATTCTTGATTCGCTGGAAGGCGAAGTTTAGCTTGGCTGGGTTGATGCCCAGGGGGCCATCTGCAACCCAGATCCACTGTGCTGAGAGCTCCACATGTCTTTGAGTGCCTCGTGCTTGTTTTGAGAGTCCCTATGGCATCCTGTGGGAAGTCTCGCCAGGTGAGAGAGGACAGTGAGAAGGAAGCCAAGCAAAGGCTGGTGGGTGGCAATGGGCAGCAGCGTTTGGCGGTGCAAGACGATAGTTTCAGCTTCAACATTCCGAAAAGCTGTTCGTGGACTTGCTGCAGTAGTTCCATGTCCCGGATTTGTGTGTGGGACATCCTTGTGAAATAAGTTGTCTTGCAATCCTGCAGTGATCCTTGATTTGCTGTTCAGCTTTTCCCTTCCAGGTCTTCATTCACATTGTGCTTCCATGGCCAAAAACTCCTCTCTGTTCAGATGTCTTCCCTTTGGCGTTCTACGCTGCCTTACATAGCGGCGAGCAAGGCTGGTATCAAGCCTCGTGAGATACTGTAAAACATTCAGAAGCCAGAGAAGCCAACCAGCCAACCCAAAAAAGACCGCAAAGAACCAACTCGGTGTGGCCCAGAGAAGGTGAGGTGACAAGTGGCTGTTTGATCAGCGGTGTCCCGAGTGCAGGTTGGAGGTCGGAGGGGGGGGAGAGGGGCCGCAACCGCAGGTCACAGCCATAACCCCACAGTCCTCGAGAAGGCGCGGTTTCCGAAGCGATGAGGGTGTTTAAGGGAGCTCAGGTCAAATCCTGTTGGGGCGGAAACCCAATGTCAGGAGGATGAGTTCGATTTGTTTCTCCTTTTTTTTCAAACCAAAGCTCTGTTTTTGGCTGTTGGGCTGCCCCCACACTTCCAACCTTTGAGCCTCCAAGCATTGCATCGGGTGGCCCACGACCAGGTGGCAGACGCCGCATGTCTTCGGGCAAAGGTACTCAAAGCCGCGTAGCTTACCAAGCAGCCCTGGCCTCTGCGAAGCAGATCCAAGATGCGGGCAGTGCAACTACCGACTAGCAACAAATTTGTTGCTGAAAGCTGCGTTTTTCAACAGAAGAATGCAAATCCGCCATCCACACGCGGGCGTAGTCAATGGGTTTGAATGCTGTCCAAAGGGTCCCCATCACATCCGTCTTCATGGCATCCAAATCGCTACTTGCGGCTGGGATTAGTCATGAACACTGAGGACGTTGAAGCGTGAGACTCGAACCATAGGAGCTTCACCATTCAGAGCTTTGTGTTGACCCTCCAATCATTAAGAGGGGCTCTTTCCGGCGAAGATTTGTTTCGTGGGAACCTGCAACCTTTCAGCGTCGGTTGTTGCCCAACCTGCAAGATTGTTTCGAAGTTGTGTAGATATGCCCTCGCCACTTGCGTAGCACTGCAAGCCAATGTTAATGTTTCAGCGGGGGGGGAGTCATCTTTGTCCTTCTGTAGCATGCCGTGTTTTTTAGACAAGATGATGGCCAAATGTGAGAATTGGCACGTGGTTCAAAGAAACCTTCAAGGTCTCCCAGAATCACATAAATTTATTGAAGTGGTTGCAAGAAGCAATCGCAAAAAATACATCATTTCAATTACACAAATTATCTCAAAATATTTACTTGAAACAGATATATGTATGGATGATAATTTTTGAATTAATATTTATATAGATCCTAGAGAAGGCAAAATTATATTTGCATTCATAATATATATTTTATTGATCTTATTATTAATATTATAAAAATCCGTTTATGCTATTATTAACATTTAATAGTATTTATATTATATTTTGGATATTTTGTTTATTTGTAAGTATTTTAAAATAATATTAAATTGTTATACATATTTTAGATGTAAATGTGAATTTCGCAAAAATGTGTTTGTTTGGTTTTGAAAAATATGTTGGTGTTGTTGTTAGGTGTTTGTTTAATGTATGTTGGAGGTATAATATCTTATATATATATATTATATATATATATTTATATTTTGGATTAATTATTCTTTAATATTTATTATTAGTTTTGTATATTATATGAATATGGTTTTTATTTAACAATATTTTAATTTTTTTTTGTATTATATATATGTTTATTATTTTTATATTTTATAATTGAAATATTATGATTTTATATATAATATAAATATAATTGTTGATTATTAATATTAATTATATTTATTTAGATTATTTTTAAGTTGGATGGTTTGAATATATATGTGTATATAATATATATGTGTATTAATTTTATATATATATATATTGATTTTGTTATTTTAAGATAATATATAATTATATATTAATTAATTTTTATTGATAAAGAATAATTTATAATTGAATTTTAATTATATATAGTATATTTTAGGTTATATATAGGTTTGTATATTTATATATTTAATTGAATAATTTATATATATATATATTTTAAATATAATATTAATATAATAAAAATATAATTATATAATAGTTAAATTTTATTTTAAAATTGGTGTAAATCTTTTTGGAATGAAGAAATTAAAAAGAAAAATAAAGAAAGAAAAAGAAGGAAATAATAATAAAAAAGAAGGAAAGAAGGAAATAAAAAAAGGATGATTGACTTGACAAATTTTTCCCAGGTTTTATTTTGTTGTGGAGACATTTTTTTAGATTGTTACGGCGAGCATGTTTGTATATGTTGATATTTAATGAATATAGTTATATAAGAATTCCATTTTATTATTTTAATTTCTTTTTTAATTATGTTGTACGAAAGTGGTTTATGTAAGTTATATTGTTCTAGGTTGCTGTGCGCAAGTTGGCCTTTGTAAGCAGCTGTATGCAAGGGCTCTGTGCAAAATTGTTCTGCGCAAGTGCTCTAAACAAGTTTCTCTGCGCAAATGCTTTACGTCAGTTAATCCGTGCAATCGCTTTGCGCATATGCTCTGCGTAAGTTTGTCTGTGCAAGTTGCTCTGCGCCAGTTACTCCGTGTAAGCTTTTTGTACATGTGCTCTATACAGGTGCGCAAGTGCTCTGAGCAAGTTGCTCTGCGCAAATGCTTTGGGCCAATTGCTCCACGCAAGCGCTTTGCATATGTGCTCTATGCAAGTCGGTCTATGCAAGTTGCTCTGCGCAAGTGTTTTGTGCAACTATTCTGTGCAATTCATAGAGTGCAAGTTGCTCTGCGCAAGTGACTCTCTACGCAAGTGCTGCCGGAGCTGTGAGAATGTATTTCATTTTGTTTTTTGTATTTAAAAAATGTGATTTTCTAGCCGGAGCTGTGGGAGCACGTTCCGCATACTACGTCTATACTGAAAAGTTGCGATTTTTCAGGAGCTATGGGAATACGCTCCGTCTTCTAAGTCTGTACTTAAAAGTTGCGATTTTCCAGTCGGAGCTACAAGAACATATTCCATGTATTACGTTTGTACTTAAAAGCTACGATTGTCAAGCCGGAACTACCACGGACCAGGGGGGAATCGAACCCGCCGCGACCACGGGATTGCGAAAGCAAGCGCACGAGCACGAGACAATTTCCAAAGTCCATTTCGCGAGTAATAAATTCGCCCCCGCAGAGTGTCGTATGTGGCTTACAAAAATCGTAAAAAAAAACCCTCAATTTTTGAACCTCGACCACGCGAATCTCCGCAAGGGTCGTACGTGCATATTAAAAATCCTAAAAAATCCTTAGTTTTAAAAATTGAGGATTTTTAACGATTTTTAGCATGCGCGTGCGATCCTTTGCGGAGATTCGTATGAACGAGGTTCAAAAGTTGAGAATTTTTTACGATTTCTATAAATCGCGTGTGCGCATAATCGAGATTTCAAATCTCGACCACGAAATCGTAAAAAATCTCAATTTTTAAACCTCGTTCATACAAATCTCCGCAAAGAATCGTGTGCGCATGTTAAAAATCATCAAAAATCCTCAGTTTTTAATTCTTAACCATGCAGATCTCCATCGAGGGTCGTAATCCCGAACGATAATCAAATTCCCGCCCCAACGCCTTAGAAACCTAAAATTAACTTACATAACTGCTTATGCCGAAGCTCTAAACAAGTTCTACCTAACCTTGGTTCTATATCACTTAGCTCTATATCACTTAGTTCTGAGCCACTTAACTCTATATCATTTGACTCTATGTCATTTAACTCTATATCATTTAACTCTATGCCACTTAACTCTATATCACTTAACTGTGCCATTTAGCTCTATGCCATTTAGCTCTATATCACTTAGCTCCGTGCCACTTAATCCTATACAATATAATTCTATACCATTTAATTCTATATAATTTATATAAAATTTAATTCTATATCACTTAACTCTCTATAATTTAGCTCTATATAAGTTAGTTCTATATAATTTAACTCTATATAATTTAGCTCTATGTAATTTAGCTCTATATAACTTAGCTCCATATAACTTAGTTCTATGTAATTTAATTCTATATAATTTAGCTCTATATAATTTAACTCTATATAATTTAGTTCTATATAATTTAGTTCTATATAATTCAATTTTATATAATTTGACTCTATATAATTTATCCAAAAGCTCCATACAAAAAAACCCTTCGCAATATTTTCAACAAAACAAAAAAAAACGAAATTTAAAAAGAAAATAACAACGCAAGAGTATGTTATTTGTGTAAACCGGGCCCAAAAAAAACAAACAAAAACAAATAAAAAAAATAAAACAAAAACAAAAATATATAAATATTACCAAAGAAACAAATACAAACAGAAAAACACAAAACGACGCAAAAAAATAAAGACGAATAACAAACACAAACACATATAGACAAACAAAAACAAACGAAACAACCCGAAAAACAGAGAGACACAGACAAAAAAATAGAAACAAAAAAACACAAACACCAAAAGAAGCAGATTAGGATATACAGAAATACACAGAGATTACGAAATAGATGGATTCGGACACATGGAAACAAACAAAGAGACACAAAAAGACGGAGGACAGGCCCCCAAATTTGCCCGAAATTTGGCCCGGGATTTTTTCGGCAAGCCGCCAAATTCTGCAGAAATTTGCGGGGTAACGTCCGGAAATTTAAGAGCCGCGTCGCCGGAAGCGACCCAAAATTCGGGAAAATATGGCCGGGTTACGCCGCGAAAATTCTAAGCGAAGTTATTAAGAACCCCCGAAATTATTCACCGGATCACTCAATCGGTAGGAGCGACGGGCGGTGTGTACAAAGGGCAGGGACGTAATCAGCACGAGCTGATGACTCGCGCTTACTAGGAATTCCTTTCGGCAAAAATTTCGGGACCTTCCGGGCCGCGTGAAGAGGCGGGAGCTTGTGCCGCGGAGAAAAGACCGGAACAAGCGTAGCCGCTCGCTTCAAGCACTACGATTCGGCCGGAGTACTGCTGCAACGGCTTGCCAGTGCACGAGCAATGCAACCTCGAGGCCGTACCGGTTAATAGGATAATAATCTATTTTCAAATATTAATTTAAATTTATTTGTTAAAGTGATGTTAAATTTTATTATAATGTAACTCTCCGCTGCTGTTTGTGGGGTCTTTCATGGTCTGATTTGTCCCAAGTCTGTCTGCTTGAGATTGTGTTGTTTCCTGAAGCACTCAGCAAGACACGGCAAGCAGGAGCGGAGAACTACTCTCCACTTTGAGGGGGTTGCCACCAGGCTGAAGTTGGAGAGATTTCTGGCTCTCGAGGGCAGGACTGGGCGGAGAGCTACTCCCAGAGTATCTCGCCGCGATTGGTGTTGCCAGCCAAGAATAAATCTCGCCGCTGGAAACAATGAAAGACTCCGATCTCACCGCTGGTGAAGAGAGTTTGCAAATATCTCGTCGCCTGGCTGCCCTGAATCCGAAATGCCTCGCCGGCTGCATCTCCAAAAATCCGTCCAGTGTAGACGGTGTGGTATCTCCTACTTTTCTCCTACTCATAACCTGCCCAGCCTACATTCAAATTGGCAGCATTTTGCAATTTGGCAATTTGGCGTGAGCAGGCAATAGCTTGACAAAGGAGAACCTGGAACGGCAGTCCCACAGAACACCCATGTCTCAGCAATGTTTCTTATATATAGTTTTGGTTCCGATTAATGTATCTGTTCGAGTGAGATAAAGCGGGCGTTATCAATTCAAAAAAAAATGCAATCTGTGTTTTGCACAAAGCATCCTCGTCTCACAAAATTGGCTGCACACAGGTCAACGCATCGATCTGATCATTGTTGTTTTTTCCACATCAGAGCTTCCCGTCATTGTATTGCTCGAATTCTTGGATGGAATTGAAACTCATCCGTGACAAATAATTTGAATGCAATCGATCCCTCAGAAAATGCCGGAGGACATGTTCATCCTGCGCGAGTCAGAATCAAAACCTTGTGCGAAAGGAGCCAACCAAACAAGACGAAAATAATCGCAAGGGCGGGTGTCCGCGCCATTTATGGCAAGGTCACTCTACCAACTTTCACTTGCCTTCAGGATTGATCGTGGCTCGCATGCTTGCAATGAAGCTTCAAGGGTCAAACACTTCGCGAGTGGCCATGGTTATAATGGTTCTGCCAAAACCCATGGGTAGAATGGTTCTGCCAAAACCCATGGGAAGTCGTTTTCCTTTTTTCGGTGAAAGGCACCAGGGGGACTCCCCTGACACACCGAAATGGCGGCGCCTGGGCATGCCCTTGTCGGGGTCCACGGCCACATGCCGGCCCTGGCGAAAGCTGCGCGGGGGCCAACAGCAGGGCTCTTCAGCTCGGCGAAGATGTTGATAGGTCTATGGTCAAGTGGAAGTGGCAAGATTGGTCTCATTTTGCAACTTGACTCATTTTCCTGCATGGCTCCTACGTGCGCGCGCATGCGTGTTCGTTGCCTCGGATGCCCACGTGCATGCCTCTTCCATTCGGCTGCTGAAAACTTAAAAACAGGAACTGGGTTCTCCAGTAGAGAGGTTAGAATAAGGGTACCCTATTTTTTTTCTGTAGTCTATTTTAGTAGGGGAACCCTCCCAAACAAAAAACATGGTAAAAGTTGGCACGATCCTGGGGGACCAAAAACGGGAAGGTGCATGAGCAACGGCTGGGCCAACTGCCAGGCTCTGACCAAAAAGTGCCTTGAAGCCCCCAAAATTGACTTTCCTAGTAGCCCCCCCGTTCACCACCACTCCATCCCACCCACCCACCCACCCACCCACCCACCCACCCACCCATCCATCCATCCATCCATCCATCCATCCATCCATCCATCCATCCATCTGGGAAGGGTGGCAGGCCATTCGCCTGCCGGCTCTTCGGAGGCGTCACGGGTCTGGCCGAATCCCAGGCAAGGATGTTCCTGCGAGCGCGCGCGCGGGGACAAGAATCAACCCCACATAGAACCAGAAGGAGGGTTTTGGATTCGGTGTGACGTCAGCCCCTGACTAAAACATGGAAAGCCGGGTGTTGGGAAAAAAAGACTCTTAAAGCAAAAATGCTCATCTTTGCAACGGCCCCTTTAAAAAAAAGAACTCCTCTTCTATTTTTACCCCCCCGTCATTAATGGTTACCCTGTTCTTGCTTAAGACAGGTTCCTCTATAACACGCTTCGCTTTGAGAGCGAGGTGTCCGGGATCCTTTCGCAGGACTTGTGTTCACCCTGGAAAAACACACACCCCGACCCACATTCGTCCGAAACCAGGGTTTCTCTGACCCTCACTCCCCAAACATCCTTAAAACATCAAAGTCTGACTGTGTAGATATGTATGTATACTGTACATTTGCATCTGCAGATGACCCCGTGGCAGTTGTTGGACCACTTTAGATCCTGTATTTGAGCGATGCCTCATGCTTATCAACGCTTTACGTTGAGGGTTAACACGAGAGGTTCATATTGTACCAGAAAATGTGAATACAGTCCGCCTTTGGCTGAGGTGTATCTTTTTTGCATAGCCCTGGCATTAGCCTAACCCTGGCACAGCCTGGCGTGCATGAAAGGAGACACTAACAGACAAAGGTTTGGGGTGGGTTTAGGGTAGTCCGTTTAGGGTAGGTTCAGGCCCTGGGGCTTCTTGGCGTTGGTCTCGGATCGGTTTAGGGCTGGTTTAGGGTTTAAAATTGGCTTCGGTCGTGGTTGTTTTTAAGTCCATAAACACAACCACGACCGCAGCCAATTCAAACCCACCCAAACCATCCCTAAACCCATCCGAGACCAACCCCAAGAAGCCCCACCATAAACCAGCACCAACATCCACCTCAAGCACAGCCACCCCCAAATTTGCTCTCAATAGGCCTGGAACCCATCCGGAGCCAAGCCTGAGCCAACCCCTAAACCCAGCCAACCAAAGCCTGGTGATGCTGAGGATGTTGAAAACAAAGCTGAGGATGTTAAAGGTTGCCGGGCCTTAACCTACCCTAAACGGACTACCCCAAACCTACCCTAAACCTACCTTGAACCCATTCCAAACCTTCGTCCTACCGAGGCGCCAACCAACCAACCAACCAACCAACCAACCAACCAACCAACCAACCAACCAACCAACCAACCAACCAACCAACCAACCAACCACCAGGGTTAGCTCTGTGCCAGGGCTAGGCAAAAAAAAACACCCGTTCCTTCCGCCTTTGACACAACAAAAAGCAGAGGCGCCCAATTATGTTGGGCCGGATGCGTCAACTGCTGCGACTGGGGGTCCAAATGGCGGGCTACTTCACACGGGTTTCTGAATTGCATCTGGGAACTTGCTCCATTTGGTGTTGGTGCCGGGTCCCTCTAGTCATACCCCATGCATCTGCAAAAAATTCCTTGGTTGCCTGGCTTGATTGGGACACACCAGGACCAGCTAGTTGGCACTCCAAATGTTGCAGGGGAACAGGAGAGCATCGTATCATTTGCCTTGGGTTGGCGGTTGGGTTATCAAAGCTCTGTCAACGACCGCGTAGTAGATAGAGTTAGCACAAATTTGGGTCTGCCTTTTTCTTTGGGTTAGCACCCCTTTTGGTTGGCGCAAAGGGAAACCAACAGGAAAACCACCATATGTTTTGTTGTATCTACTTGTAGTTTTCTTCTGTTTTGTTTTCTTTCTCGCGGGGGGGGGTCCCTTAAAAACAACACACCCACCCGGAGATTTCAACCACTGAATAGTGAGCCACAATTGCGGGTTCCATGCGTGTGTGTGTGTCTCAAAAAGGCTTGCGAGGCCCGCCCTCAGGTAGAAGGAAAAGGACAGCTTCAGAGCAAGCCTGACCAAACCACCCGGGACCCGAGAAAAAAACAAAACAAAAACGGAATACCACTGGATGCAAACTACTCGGTATATCTTTACAACCGTTGTGTTGTTTGTTGCAGCCCACTGGAAATCAACGGAACCCACAAACCTAAAACAATACTGTGGTGCTGTTGGGGATATCAGCTGAGCCCATTTAGCAGGCCCCCAACCAAAAATGAACAGAACCAAACAGAAACAAAACAAAAATGTAAACCAAAAAGAAACAAACCAAAAAGAACCAAAACGAACCAAACCAGCCAAAAACGTGCAAACCAAAAAGACAAACACCACAAAGAACCAAAAAGAACCAAAAAGAACCAAAAAGAACAAAAAAAAGAACCAAAAAGAACAAAAAAAGAAGAAGAAAAAAACAGAACCAAACAACACCTGCCAACCGTTGTGAGGATGTACTCCACCCACTCTTTCAGCTCTGAGCTTCAGGCCCGTGGCCATTCCTGTTCCTGTACGAGAAGGCCTCTCGCTGCGAGTCCGCCTTCGCAGCTGTGCGGCAGAAGAACAATCGCCGCAGGGCCCCGTGTTTTAGAAAGCTGTTTTTTTAGTCTTCATACGGTGGGTTGTTTTCCAAGAATTGCTTTTTGTTTTTTTTGAAGGAGGACACACTCGTTAAATTGCAGGGGGTGGCTCTGACCAGTAAGTCCTCCGGATGAATCCAAAGTCAACACCACTGCAAAGCGGGGTGGTTCTCTTTGTATCCATTTCTCCGACTCTGCCGGCCAAGGGGAAGCACCCTTTAACAAGATCTAAAAGGAAAAACCAAAACAAACATGGACCGAAGGATTCCCTCGGATCCACTAAAGGGGGTAGTGGTCCTGCGGGCGGCGTTGCTTTGAACAGTTTGTCAGTGCCTTACGCACATAGGCGTTCCCATTTGGCCACCCCATTTGGGTGTGAATTTAGTGGACATCATTCCCATAAGATTGATGTCCAGCCATTGGGCCTGTGTTTTGGAGGGTACCTGTTTTGTGGTGTTGACCACCGAAATCCATTTTGGGGGGGTCCGATTCAAGAACAAGGACGCGAGGCACCCATGTTTTGAGTCGGCTTCCTGGTGAACATTGACAGCCATTTGGCCATTCAGGACCCTTACCCGACAGCCCCAAATCTCCAATTTTCCACGTGCATGTGTCGATTCTCCGAAGTGTCCACCCCAAAAAATCATAGGGGCTCGGACCCCAAACATGCCATTTACCAGATGGAAATCCATTCGAACTCGTCCAGAACGGGCCCTTGGAGAACCAGGAACCCCTCAGCTCCCGAAGGCCTGAAGGGTAGGGGACCACCTTCGGACGAATGGGAGCCCCTGGAAGCTGAAATTCTGTGGATGTCCCTGTCCACTCTCAAAACCAAAGAACAGCTTCCTGCAAAAACCGGAGATTGTGTGGATTTCCACTTTACCACTTTAAAAAGACCAAAAGAAACGCTTGCTGAAAAAAAAATGAAAAAAAGCAGAAACCTGGGCCTCGCTGAAGGCGCTGTGAGCCCCGGAGATCACGCCTGGGGCCAATTTGGTGACAGCAACCAAACGGGAACCGAAGGGCCGGAGGTCTGGAGCTCAAAGGTGTCCTTTCAGGTCTAGGTCCTCCAGATTTGAGAGGACCTGGAATAAGGGCACCCGATGTTTTTAGTCTACTTTAGTAGAGGAACCCAAAACCCCAAAAAAGAAACGGTAAAAGTTGGCACGATCCTAGGGGGACCTAGAGGTGCTGAGAGTAGTCCCCCCCCAAAAAATGGAAGCCTGGAGTCCGGCGAGTCCACCAAAGGAAGCCCCTTGACCTGGTTTGAGCATCAAAACGCGCGCGAGAGTCGCAATCGTGGAGTCTTTGGATATTGGGAATGGCAGCCCCTTGCCAGCTAGTGAGAATTCACCCCGCCAAAGATACCAACTGGGACTGTCCGTAATAAGCCTGGACTCGGGAGGTTGCTAATACCCGAGTCTCCCATGGCAAATCCATTAGTGAGGGGTTGACATTGGGGATTCCCTGTTGGTCGGCTTTAAAGGGCAATGCCATTTTCGCATGCAACCAAGGAGGCGCAACAGTGGAAAGAATTTCCGTGCTGGGACGGGCAACTCCTCTTCCAAATTCACAGTAGCCTCTTCCCAACAGTTCATCTACTTTTGAAGCTTCTGTTGATATTCAGGCCGCATATATCCAAACTTAAGGGGGCCAAACAGGTCCGGGAGCGAGTGGTCGTTCAGCCATGCCAAACGCTTTCACCTGCATCTTCCGAACAAACCCGACGTCTTGACAGTCGAATTTTTGTTGGGAATCCGACAAGCCCATCTCACACACACACACACATGCACAGGCGTGAAAACCATGACAAAGTCAAGCAACGGTCCAGTTCCTCCTGCAAAACGTTGGGAGCAACGTAGCCTTTCAACAGCAACGCCATCCTCATGCCGAAAGAGTGTGGACGAAGTCCAAAAGAGGATCCCCCACACCATCGACATGAGAGCCTGTGACTTGTTTGCTTTGCCCGCATGCCACATGGCAAATTGGCTGTGTCACACACAGCCATGGTGATGCTATAGGATGGCACACCATGTCTCCCTACTACTTCCGAAAGTATGCACTTGCGCATATAATATAGAATACAATATATATATATAGAGATATATATACATATGTATAATTACATACATGTGCACACCAGCAACCCCCATGTGCACACCAACACCCCCCCATCGACTGCATTCTGCTGTGAACCAAACCCCCGAGTGCTGTGGGGCGAATCTGGGGTACCTCAAGGTCCCCACTGCCAGCGTCAGATCGATCTTCGTGATGTCTGCGCGGCCTCGTATCCACTGATAGCCCTTCGGCCTTTTTATCATGCCAAAAAACAATCATAAAGTACCCTCCCACTAACATAGCACCTGTGGGAGGGTAGCTGGAAGATCCGTTTCCTCTTAGAGGGACCATTTCTGAGGTGCCATGTTAGTGGGAGAGAGGGCTAATGAAAAGCCGGCGGTGTCCGTTTGGCTTCCCTTTGATGCCACCCCAAAATTCAGTACGCTCCCAGTCAAGGTGTCTATACGAGAAATTGCAGAAAAAACGAGCTCTTGGTGATGCCTGTTTGCTCTGCTGAAGCAGCACTATGTCCAGCCTGTATTGCATTTGTAGCTGCGCTGGCACCGCAAAACTTCTGAAACTTGCACTCATCTTTTGCACCAATGGCAAGCTGATCGATGACACAGGTGAGGGACTACAGACAAGCTGTTGCGCGAATATGAAATACATAAGACATATTCAAGGCAAGTGGTCATCAGCATAAATAGTCCATGTATAGTTATATATATATATATACATACATATATATATACATATAGATACATACGTACAGGTATACATATATATATATGTATGTTCATTTGTATAACTCTCAACTGCTCCCCTTGTTTGCACCAGAAAGCCGGAGCTTTTCAATCTTAAAAGGCCAGCCTTATCCAAGTCCTTGTTCCCAGTACATTTCAATGGCCCCCCGACCCTGGAAAGGTAGAAAGTGGTCAGCCTAGTAGCCCACGAAAAGCCAATCCAAAAAACGTATACTTGCATGTATACTCAGCTAGATACGTCAAAGGAAACATTCATGGAAGCAAGCACGGTAACTATGTAAAAACAATGAATGCTGGTTATTTACACTCACTGATTGTGGATGCATTGATAAGCGACAAGTACAAGGAACCAATAACGCACAAAATGATACGGACAATACAACTAACCAGAGCAATCATTTTCAGAATCGGGGGTGTCAATTAATTACATGATCCCAGTGTTTATGGAATACAGGGTGCGAGTGGAAACTATCAACCAACTAGGCAATGTGATTTATCATTGCAGCCCCGATCAGAAACCCATATCAAGCCATTGTATGATGCATTTTTTCAAAGATAACCATATGTACACAATGAATAATCATATTCAACGATTGGAGCATGAGGACACTCTAATGTAGGACTGACAAGAACGAAAATAACTGCTTAGATTTAGTGCATAGAGAGAACGAACTATTTAGTTATTGTAAAGTCATTGGGTATGAATACAGGATCGTTTACAAAGCATGGTGGACTATTTCAGAACTGAAGACAGACTTCAAGAACGTTTATGTAAATATGATATATCGCAGTGTTTAATGGACAATCAGATTAACAGCGACATCACTGGTGGCAGAGAGACAGCCTGCATTTGTATCTGACTGAAGCAATGATTGAAATCAAAATGCAATTATTCAATCCAAATCACAGATATTATTGCAGTCCTACTGATACGAGTACTGAATAATTATTGGACTATCGTCCCACAGGGTGCAGATGTCAATCGCTTGACAACTGAACAGTTTGCGACGACAACTTTGACATCAAGGATAACGAACCTATGTTTGGTAGAATCTGAACACATCACCACTATTCTTTAACCACGATACTAATTTGGTATACGGTATGTTTTTTAAGCAGTTTACGCCACTGATTGCATCTGGAGAGTTGACCATCACTCACTACAAAGAGCCACATTTCATTCACAAGGTACACTACAAATCTATGATTGACGAACTCTGTGAAAAGCAAATAAGCCAACATATCAGGCGGAGGTGGGCGGTAAGTGGAACATACCAAGTGGGTTGGGACAGAAGGTTTGTGAAAACGCCGATTCGCTTCACTATATTCTGAATGTGGTTGATAGATGCGAGTTGCCTACTGGGATTAAATGAATTAAATCAATGCTTCTACAGCATCAGCATTTCTAAGTTAAATGCAGTGCGCATACCAGAAACTCACAGATAATGACGTCAAGGTGTTGAGTGTCAAATGCGACGCCTTTGTCGTCGACTCTTCTGGATTCAGAAAATGTGGTCTGAGAAAAAACAGCAGTTGTTGGACTTCCCCGATGGAATCGGTGGGTGCAAACTAGCCACGAGACTCGCGATTTGTTTTTCTCGTACAGGGAAACACATGATGAACGGAACACATGTTGAGATTCCAGTTGTCAAACGTGAACGAGTCAGTATAATTGTTGAATACGATGAAAATGAGTTGGTTGAGCTTGTTGAGAAACATAGATGCTTGATCATTAAGGCAAAATTTGCAGGCGCGGGTAAGTCTGCTGCCGAACATATGAACTAGCGCTACTACTGAACTATGCCAACAAGGGCTGGAAGCAATATGCTTAGAATATTATGCTAGGAAAATGCTAGGAGTATGACGGAACATGCTAGACTTTCTGAGCGACCGGCATCGGATTTGCAATCTTCCGCCCGAAGATGTCCATGTTGTCCCGCCCCTATCAAGTCCCCCGATATCGGGAAGGGGTGTGGGTGTGTAGAGGATGTGGCTTCCTTTTAAAGTTTCTCTGTAAAACAAATATTCCTATGTTGGTTTCCCCTTTTTTTTTAAGAGACATGGTCCGACATGGTGCAATGGTACCCTGAAAAAGATACACCCATCTCTGAATCTGAGGAAGGCGGCCGGGTTCCTCTGGGCCTCCTTTTTCAATTCAGCGTCACAGGCGCGGGCCTAAGAGGCACCCCCATAGAGGAAGTAAGGCCTCGGGGCGCCTCTTAGGGGGAAGTCACCCCCTCCAACTTTGCACCACACTCTTCTGCCCCCCTCATTTTGCAACATGCGGGGGCGGGGGAAGTAGAGTAAGGCCTCTGAATGATGCCAAACTTTGTGCACGAGACTCTCTTGTGGGGGTTATTGCTGCCTGGGGTTTTTGTAGGATTCGTTTCGGCAACTGGGGCCTTCGGAATGCAGAACTTTTACTGCAAGGGTTGCAGCATGGCCGTGCCCCTTGGCTTCCCCCTGTTTTTTTAGATGAACTTGCAAGCCCGGATAGGTCTGAACCTTTTTTAGGGGGCCTAACATAGACTGTGGCAATGGCCGTTCCTCGCCCAATGTGGCCAAAACCACCAGGAGTTCTGCACCAAAAGCGGCGAGGGCAGGTTCCAGCGCTTCCACGGCGCATGTGAGTCCAAACCTGCCTTGTCCCAACTCCGAAGGGACGAAAGTCAGAGCTTCAGACTGTGTTTCATATATCTGGTCCAAAGTACACCATCTTTTGCAGACAGCGCGTTAAATGGGGCTTCAAAAAAAGAGGTGTGCGTGTCTTCCTTTCAGCTTCCCTTCGACTCGAAAGCTTTCTTGGAATTTGCTTCCCCGGTACAAGAATGAAGAGGGCGGAAAGAAAGCTTTAGCTGTCATTTCTTTGTTTAGAAATATATACTCGCGTTTCTCGAGGCGCCCCAAAGGGGTTCCATACTTGGCGGCCTTTCTTTTGCTGAAGCAAGCAGCTTTATATCCCCAAAACCAACCACAGGCGGGCAAGTACAAATCAGCAGGGGGTGCTTGATTTGGGAGTGTGTGCATGTCTGAGGTTGGTACAATTGTCGCGGGGAAATGAACCTGTGATACGTCTTTCTTTTTTAATGGGAGGGGGTCCCGCATTTCGACACATCCCCATGTTACCCCCCCTTCTGAAGCTAGGCATCAGCCAAGCTTCCTCGAGCTCGCGGAAAAAGTAATGCGCCTGGAGCTCTGGCTTTGCACTGGTCGGCAAGGCCTCTTCCGGAAAGTCCTGGATGCTGAGGCGAGTCAACCCCGCGAAATGCGGTAAAAAACAACCCCCCAGACCTCTCCAAGCAAATGCCTAAAACCTGGGGACCCCCTAGCGTCCTTTCATGAAACCATTGTATGAAACACGTTAGACATCCTAAAGAGTGGGGACATGATAGCAGCATCCTCAAACTTCCCCACGCTGAAACGATCTAGAAGGGAAAACCAATGTGATTTTTGAGAATCTGAGCCAATTTACTTGCAGGGGCACATCTAGTAGCTTACTTCCGGGTTCCTGGACTCACGTGTCTTGCTGCAGCCGCCTGTTCAAATGTAAAGCGCCGGGTGGGCATGGGGGCGAAGCTGCTAAACCGCGCCCTTCTGAAAATTGGGTCATGCTTGAGCCACCATTGGTTCACGTTAAAGAGGTCCATAGCCAAACGGTGTGTCCAAAAACGGGAATTCATGCGGACCCAACTTGCCCGAAAAAGGCCGCTCTGCAGTCCCGCACATCGTTCTCTGGCAGCTGGCCTGGCGAATCTGTCTGGGTAAAATTATGAATATTATTTTCGGATGGTTTGGGAAAACAAATGGACAACATCCCATAGGTGTCCCCAAAAAGAAGTACTACTTAGGTTTGTCTCTCAAAATTAGGCTTTCCATTTGAAACCAAGCCAAGAAGGGGTTCCCTCAAAAAAAGACAAGCCCGCTTTATTTCAAAGGGGGTTTGTTGGTATCCCAGAAATTGGTCTCACGTTTTCAACCTGGTCACACCAAAGGTCCCACCTGGAGTCCCAATTTCTCAGATGCTGATCCTGCATTCTCTTGCTTTCCCTTTCGAAATGCAAAGGGAAGGCTCTTCGCCGCTCTTGGCAAAATTTGGCTCAGCGAGACTGTTGACGCGCGGCTGTGAAACGAGACCCTCGAACATGGCGGGTTGCAAAAATCCCCATGTAAATGATGTCCACCAAAGGGTCCGGATGCCAGTTCTTCGAAGCTTGAGGCTGTTTATCACAAAATCGACCATGACCCCTGACTCATGCCAAGTCCCCCAATGACGGATGCTTGGCCCCAGCCAGACAGCTCCCTTCGCCTCCTACAACAAATGCGGGGGAGGTGCTGTGCGAACGCTGAGTGCGTTGCCGACCATGTTTACCCACGGCACAACTTGGGGTTTAAAGCTTTGCAAAAAAGAAAGCATTGGAGGGCGGTAGCCAAGGTATTGGACAAATGGATGGCACTGGCCAAAAGAGTGGTTAATCCATACTATTTTACAACCATCATGACACCTGAAACTATGGCTGGTAGTGTCCCCCACCCAACCCCGAACTCCGGCCTAGCTTGGGCGGCCTCAGTACGCAAGGTTGCGGTGGGTTCGGCAAAGTGACATCCGCAAAATGACCCTTAGTTCTGTTTAAGCCACATCCAGGACCCGAAACTAATTTTGAGAGCCCCTCAAAAGTGTACAAGGGAGCCAGTTGCAACCAGCACTCTGCCACTTGGCGCTAGAGTTGGGCATTCCATGCGGCATGACTGTTGAAAAACTGGGAGCCCGGGCGGGGGACATGACATTTCTCGTGGGGTTTTTATCAGAGCCCTAGACTTTGTACAGCGAAAAGGGAGTCAACCCCCGAATTGGATCAATGTATGCATCACAACTCGCTCTTTTCTTAAAAACCTGCTATTTTTGCTGGGTTTCCGGAGGTTTTCGAGAAAGAAGGATCCAAGGAAAGAATGGGGAAGCTACCCCTAGAATTTCGGTGGGGTTTTATGCCCATCGTTGATTTTATGCCCATCGTTTGGTCAGCAAAAGATCCCGGCTCCATTCTCTCTTTGTGCCTTGGCTCCGAAGCCTCCCAATGGATGTCCTTTCTTTTGTATGGAGGGACCCTTGATTTCGGGCGGGAAAAAATGGAGTCGGACGTAAGAGCCGCAGAAACTCCTGGTCAGTCAAGTCTGCCTACACTTCAAAACCTTGTACCCCAAGGTTAAGGCCGTCTAATCAGCCTGCTTTGCTTCTTGAACCCAAACTGATTCCCCGGTATGTGTCAAAATAGGACCCCAAACTGGTAAGTTGCAACTTCAAGACTCCATTTCCAGCGGCGTAAGCTCAAAATTCTACAGACAGACAGACAGACAGACAGACAGACAGACAGACAGACAGGCAGAAAGACAGACAGAAAGACAGGCAGACAGACAGACAGAAAGACAGACAGAAAGACAGACAGAAAGACAGACACACAGAAAGACAGACAGACAGAAAGACAGACAGAAAGACAGACAGAAAGACAGACAGACAGAAAGACAGACAGACAGACAGACAGAAAGACAGACAGACAGACAGACAGGCAGACAGGCAGACAGACAGACAGACAGACAGGCAGACAGGCAGACAGGCAGACAGGCAGACAGGCAGACAGAAAAACAAACACAAAAAAAAAAACAGCAAGCAAGTAAGCAAGTAAGCAAGCAAGCAAGCAAAAAGAAACAAACAAACAGACAAACCAGACAGCCAGATCGGCAAACAAACACACCAGCGCACAAGAGCACACACTTGAGGCAAAGGTTGAGACTTGGCCAGACGCCTTGCCTGCGAACAGTTCTCCGCTTCCCCTTTGGGCGGCCGGCAGGACGTGATTCTCAGCCTGCTTCTGGAAGTGCCTGGGCGCTCAAATAGCTCATGGAGGCCGCCGCGCGTTGGGCAGAGTCGGTGTTGAGCAAACAGCTCGCCCAAGGGAAACCCGGAAGCAAGCTCTTCAAACCTCAGATGCCCAGTGGTTATGGGAAAAAGAAGGGCATCCTTTTTTGGTTGCTTGACTTTAAAGGGGAACCCTTCCCAGGGGAAAAAAAAAAGAAGTACCACTCAGCGCATTTTGGCACGCCAGATGACAGGTAGGGACTTTTGATACGTCTAAAAGCCACTTGCCTTACACGGCACTCCTCTCAATCAGCTGATAAAGCGATTATCTAACTGGCCCACATGTGGCGCTCGAGGGAGCTTGTTTCCTCTAGTCCCTTCACATTTATGGTGATTGACGTAGGCGAGCAAGGTCTGTTACAAGGCTGGTTGGGTCCATTGGAGCCCCACCTAAAGTTGCGGGGCGACTGACCCTTTGCAACAGAACCACCGGAATTGCTCTGGTCTGGGCTAAGGTGAATTTCTTCTGGAGCTTTGTGGAACTACAAAGCACCTGCTTTTTATCCGGTCGTTCATTTTGAAGGACCCCTCCCAAGCAAGAGGACCAAAGGGCACCACTCAAGGTCTAGAGTGTTTCTTTTCCCCAGGGACTTGGGGGACGCGATAGGGCTACGAACCCGGCAAGCCGATTCCGCGCCAGTGGTTCGTTTCGGCCTTCAGACCTGGACCCGTTTCCTCATGCGCATACACGGGTGAGCCTCGTGCCGAGATTTTTTTTTCAGCTCACGAGATCGCCCCTGTTCTATTGGTCTTTGCAGCCCCAAGCACACCTTTGGTCGCCTTCAAGTTGCGAGACTTACCCATGCCGTGGTCTTTGTGGTGGCCATGGTCGTGGATCCCTCAAAGGGAAGCCCTCTAATAACGGTTGTCTAAGTTCTCCAATGGTCCATGACCATCCCATGTGGGCACCTTGGTTGGAGGAAGCTGAGGTAGACGTTTTTCAGGTGGCACATCTTTCTGGAATCCCATTTGAGGATCAGGTGGAATGCTCCCCAACCCGCCCTCTAGAGCTCGACTCCCAGCACAAGTCCGCATTCAAAAGTGCCCTTCAAACCACCATGAAGACTAAAAAAGAAAACGCACACTTTCTCAAAAAAGAACAACAGTTCTTGGAAAACAAAACCCAGCCGACGCGCCTGCGGCCGCCTCGCATGGCCGAGCTCGTGGGCTTTCCAGCGGCCGAGGAGGCCTGGCGCCCGGCGGAAAACGGGACAACGGGCAACACGGGGCCCGCGGCTCGGAAGCCAGAAAAAACCTCCCGGGGAGAACCAGGTGAACGCCTGGTGTCCCGGAAAATGAAAAAGAAGAAGAAGTCCCTGTTTGATCGAAAAAAGAAAAAGAAGAAGAAGAAACAAGGCTGCGAAGGGCGATTTCAAGAACCAAGGGACGGTGAACCAGCCGTTTCCCAATACGCTTACCCTAAATTGAAATACGACGATGTTCTATCTCATGGGGTTGCGGGGTGCTTTCGAATCAAATGATGACATCATAGGAGAACGTGTGTAATTCTTTGGCCCCCTCTGTTTTAAGGAATCCCCAAAGAGGGAATCTTTGTCGTGAGCTTGTTGTACCCCCAAACGTCGCGCGGATTTGGTGAGGCCACGGCCCAACAATCCTGAACCCGATGGAATACTGGATGATATGGGTATGATTTTTAATACGGGACCCTTTGGTGGACATCATAGATCGGTGGGGATTCATGTCTACCAATCACATTTGGTTCCAACTAATGGAACTCTGATATATGGAACCAAAGACTAAAACCTGCGGTCCCCTGGTGGGTTTATTTTGACCCATACCCATACACACCAACAAAGCTGCACAGTGGATCTGAAAAAACATGCTCATGCGATCCGCGCCTCGCTCCCGGCCTCACTTGGCTCATAGCAGCTCCTGCGGCAAAGGGTAGAATGAGGGCCCCAACATGCGAATGTGACGCAGCCATGTTGAAAAACCACAGATATCCAGCAGGGGCGCACCCAACCCCCCCCCCCCAAACAGTCCTTGAGGTTTCTTCAAAGCCCTGTTCTTCTGATTAACCCGCATGAGCGCTTCACTCATTCACATGTGTCCAACCTAACACATCGCTCATGTTTGAAGCTCACTTGAAGCAGAGCACGGTTCCTCGCAATAGGGCTTGGCTCCCGGAAAAGTGTCGTCTTCGTTTAAATACCAACCAACGTGGAGTCCACCGTTTTGAGAAACTCCCACATGTCCCCTTCAAACATCACCCCGCCAAAAGGAAACATCTTTTGAACATGTAAACAGGTAAAGCGGAAAACCGCCCAACCTTTGGGCTTTCCAGTCTTGGATAAAAACGCCCGGTCTGTAAACCCCGGCCGCTAACCAAACAGGCCAGTCCAGCTAGCCGCCCCAGGTCAATCCTTCTTTTGGTTGCCCCCATGAATTGGCACTCAAATGAGACCCATTCCATTTCGCAAGCCGATTTGGCCAGGGTGTGCCGCACACTGTGGGTCTGTGCCCTGAGCCAGACCTCAAAATGCTCAGCTCCTTCTTGTGTCTCTCAACAGAGCAAGGGCATCCTCAAATGCACCCACAGAAATGTTTACCCTTAGGTTCTTGACAGCAGCAACAGGAACCAAGGCTTCGGCCCTGCATAGCTGATCAGGCCGCCTCGCCTGCGCGATCAGGTCGCGCAAATCATCTCGTTTGGCGCTTGTCAAAGGGAATCCCCAAGCATCTCGTTTGGACAAGTGCACTCCCAGCATCCTCGTCTGTTCTTTTAGAAGGGAATGATGGGGTGGTGCTCCCACGAAAAGCTATCAACATCCCAGCATTTGCCCCCAAAGTCAATCAACTCCCTGAAAACATCTCTTACATCCCCCTTCAAAGACCCCTTCAGAGACTTCTTCCATGAGTGGTTGATGTCGGTCCCCTACAGTCATGCGGATCAGCTTTGTGCACTTCAATGCGAGTCCATTTCAGAGACCTCAGACCAGGCACCAAAGCGATGGGCAAACCAGATTGTCCTACTGCCAGTGGGAGCCGACCTCGGGACCGCGTCATTCACCTGTTGCGCACTGCGCACAGCTCGCTCTGCGCCCGAAAGGTACTGGCCATGTGCAAAGACCAAGGCGGCGCTGCATGTCAGCAATTTTGTTCCATCACATTGGCGAAACGACAACACCACTGTAGATGTTGAACTGGTAACAAATGGCAACAATTTTGGGGCACTAGAGGCACGCGATAAGTAGGTGTGTCAGGACAACACCCCATTTCCGCAACCTGGAATAAGTGCTCTTCGGTGGAGTGTGTGGGTGTGTGGTGTGTGTGTGTGTGTGTAGTGTGGTGTGTGCTTGTGCTTGTTTTCGTGCGGGGGGAGTGACCATTCTTGGAGAGTGCAAAAGGCCAAAAAATCTCTCCAGGCCTAGCTTCTCATCACTCCCCCCCGCTCTCCCCCCGCCCAACGCCTCGCGGTGCTTTGTGCATCGCGCCGCAAACCAGCCATCATCTGCGGAGATGTGATCCACCCCAAACACGCTGCCCCCCTTTAAAAAAACGTCAGAACAACTGCTACCACCCCCCAAGCACGCCAATCCCCCCAAGCGCCGGCCGTTTGGGGTGTGTGGCAAGCGCTGCAAGGTGTGGCCACACGACCTTTGTCTTGAGGAATCGGAACTTGCCAAGGCGCTTGGCCTGGGTGCTTGCCAAAATGGGAAGCCCATATATAAAGCACACCGCGGGTGCGGGCACACACGCAATATACACAACACACACACAGACACATGCATGTCATGGCTGGGGGACAGAAAGCAATGTGTGTGTGTGTGCATCCGACTCAGGATGCTCCAGAGACATCCAGAGGCAGTCATTTAATGCAGCTGAGTGACTGAGGCAAACTTCATCGTGCGGGCTGAAAGATGCTTGTTGATGAGTCTCAAGAACCTCGGGATTTTCTGGCAGGCAAACTCTGCGCCCGCCAAGTGATCATGCGTGGTCATGCATGCAAAAGGTTTGTCTGCTAACCTGTACACACAGCTTACCCAGGGCCAGGAAATTGCTTCGCGCAGTCAGATGCTGGTGGCCAGCAAATCATTCCAATTATTGTCGGCTCCTTCATGGAGTTCATTGGTTGCCAGAAACTGATTCCTAGATCCCCGGATCGTGCAAAACTGACCTTTTGGAGGAGCTGCATGACACTGCAGCGCCAATTCTTGTCAACCCCCTTTTTCCCCGATGTGCGTGTCTTTTCTAAGGCTGGGCATTGTCTGGGGATATTTTCCTTCGGACAACCGAAAAGCCAGTTCCCCCTAAAACATGCAAAGTGCATTTGGGTTTGTATCTGAATAGGGTAGCCGGGGTGGTGCCGCCCTTTTTGGTGGCTCCCATTGCCATTTTTGAGCAATTTTCCCACACCGACACGAACAAATTGCTTTGGCCCCTGATTTTTGTGAGGAATTTGGGATGTCCTCCCGTGTCCTCCTCAAACCCCGATAGACTTCAAATCCCTTTGACAGTTGATCAGTTGCTCAATGTTTTGGGAACCTGATGAGCGATAATCCCTCCAAACAGTGCATGACCTTCAATGCTTAGGGAATCCACCCTATTCTTGGCTTTCCTTTGAAGCAGTTAGAGTGAACAAAAACTATGTGAATGCAAAACCCGAACTTTGAAACAGTAACAGTGAGAAAAAATCATGCGATCTTCAAAAAAAAAACGCGCATACCGGCTCCAGTGCTCACCCGGCACGTGCTTGCTCTCTCTTTCTGGGACCAGCGGCTCGCTCTCCAGGTGCCCGATGTCCACGCCTGGGATTCGGAGAGTTGGATTCGGATCCGGGCCACGGCACGAGACCCCCCTTGTAGGTGAGACCCTCGCCACCCCCCCGTTTTCGGGCCAGACCCTCACCGTGCCCAGGAGGTTTTACCAGCCCTGTTTTACCTTGTCTCTTGGGAAGGGGATCACCTTGGAGAAAAAAATCGGTTTGTTCCTGTAAATATTTTTTTTGCAATAGACCCATCACCCCACACGGCTGCCTTTTCCAAGGCCCAAAACCCAAAGTGCCGTCCAAAGGGGAGGGTTGCTAGACCTGTCCAATGTTTTGGACAAATAGATGGTACTGGCAAATGCTTAAAATTGGACCCAAACTGAAACCAAAGGAATCTGTCTATTTTGCACCATGACCCAAAGACCCATAAACGTGAGACCTGACAGATCCTTCTAAGGAAAATAATCCTGTCAGATTCCATGTTTGATAGGAGGCCAGGAGGCCGTGCCAAGGTCAAGGACGCATTTGCGCAGTATATATCCCCGCGGAACCGTGTTTGGTTGTTCACAACGACAACAAAGTGTGAAAACCTTGCTGCTCTATCCCCCCCTCTCTCTCTCTCTCTCTCTAAATATACCCAAGAACATGCGCCGGTTGTTTAGAGACTCGGGTTTTCTCGTGGTGTCTTTTATGATACTTACCCCCCATTTGGTCAGTTGCTGTTTTCCGGCGGGGGTGGGGGCAGCCTGTTTTCAGGTTGGATCAGTGCCTGTTGGCAGTCAAAGCGACTTGGGCGGGCGTGACGTTGTTTTTTTGGCACCGCTAGCTCTTAAGAACCAGCCTCAAAAGGGCACCGGCAATGCCTGTGCCAACCGGCCACTGCTTTCTTGGCCGCCGGGGTTGGTTTCGGGCATGGTTGAAAAGGCAGTCGTAGAGTGGAAATTCGCGAAATGGGAACCAACAACAAAGACCAAAAGGAGGGCCAAAGGGAAGCCAAACAAGAACCACTGGGAGCTTTGGGAAGGCCTTCTTTAAATTGATGAGCAAAGAACGTGCTGACGTCCAAGGAAGGGGAACCATACTTGCAGGGTCTTAGTTCACAAGCCAGCTCAAAGACTTAAAGCCTATTCGGGGGTAGCAGATTTTCCCTGAACAGAAGCCCAAATACTGGGTCCACAAACGTGACATTCTTGAAATTACCTCTGAAATGGTGGGTTACAGGGAACCACCTCCAACTGTAATCTTACAAGCCAACAAAAGACTATCCTGAAACACCTCCCTCACACAACAGGCCGGGTGTTGCTTCGTGGGGTTGACCGCTAGCTCAACATTGGGCCCCGCGCTTGGCCCCAAAACGTTCTGCATTTGAGCCTGGCGTGACAAATCGGCAGCTCCGCGCTCCGCATATGTCTCTTTGTTGGCTCTACCTTGTGTTGGTACTTGCGAGAGGTTCTTGGATTTGTCTTGAATGGATGCCCTTACAGAGCAGATTCCCTTTGCACACATGGGTGTGTCGTTATCCAGGGTAATGCTTTTGTGGCTAAGGCAAACCAAACAGAAGACCCATCCATGTTGGGGTCCAACCTTCAAAAAATGCCACATATTCTCATTCCGAGCCACATGGAACCCGCAGTTCCTTTTGAAAGACCCCCCCCTTTTCTGGGTTCCATGCTGAAGCCTCGTGTCTGGTTCTTGTCTTTCTGGGGCTTGGTGCCAAAGTTTTGGAATTGGTTCAAGAGGGTGTGGGTCAAAATATTTGACTTTTCGTCTTTGCTTCTATTTACCAGGGCAACCCATGTTGGGGTTGCCCTATTTTTGACCCACAGCCAGACGACCAAGCAGGAAGCCGAAAAGCCCTGGGTCCATCACTCGACCTTCGCCCAGCCAAAGGCCTGGAAGGATTGGTTCGTGAGCTGGTTGCAGTCCTTTGCGCGCGCGAAGAGCTCGGTCTTTGGACTCGACAGCATCCATTTTGGAGGTGGCCGTTAAAAGCAAACCAAAGGCATCCGGGCATGGCTCCTGGAGTCGGTACCAGGCTAGGGCGAGTATTCCCAAGGGCCCTCAAGCCACAACTTCTTGTCAGTCTGAAAAGTCCACAGAGGCCATGGACCAAGCTTCTTGTTCATTGTGAGTGTTCCAGAAAACCCCCTCTGGCCTCCAACATGTGAATCTTCTTTCAAAATCCACCCAAGGGCCCCCCCCCAAACCAACACCTCGCCGCTCGCCGCTCAGGCCCCAGGCCCACTGGCTGTAGAGGTGCTGAATGGCCGGCCCGCGCCTGTATGAGCTTTTGGGTTGCCACGGACACGGCCAGGTGACCCTTGGGGCTCTGGGTTCGGTGAGACCCAACCTCGAAGGGGGAACAAAACCCCGAAAAATGGCGTGGTGTTGGGGGGGAACTCCGGGTGCTGACTACTTGGGGGTTGTTTGGGATTCGCGGGGATCAACCCCCCTCCCCGAAATCCAACAAGGGTTCACATCTGTGAAAACCTCGGCCGCAGGTGGTCTTTTTGCGAGGTTCGGGGATGCTCCTTGGGCTGTTGAAAGGAGAAAGCCCTTTGAACCATTCCCCTTACAGCATCAAACGGGGCCTCCGAATGAGGCAACAAAAACCTGTCAGAGGTCTTGACTGCAACGGAGGGTAAGATGCTACGGCTGGTAAAGCTTTGCAATTGGGTGGCTCAGGCGTTGAAACCAAAGCGGGAAAAGCCGAATCTGCCAAATCGCCGAACTTTGCTTGGGCGGGGGCTTGTCTTGGTTTAGGAGGGTGGGCCTTTGTTTCTGTTTCTTCTTTTTGTGGGAATTGAATGTTGAGTCAAAATCGAAGAATCAAGAGACACTCACCAGGGTTTGGCGAACGAAGTCGGGTCTTGCAAAAACGCGAAACACGTGAGTGCTGTTTCACGCCCACTGAGCAATGGTCGCAACTCGTTGCTCCCGCGCCTTTGCCAGAAGGCTTCATCCACCACCTGCCACGGTCCCAAGTGAGCGGTTTGACCCATGGTTGTAATGGTGATGAGTTACCACGCCCAAAAAAGGCGCCAGGTAGTAGAAAGTGCTTCTGCCAGGTGCGTCCCAGCAAGCTTTCCGCCATTGTCCCAGCAAGCTTTGGATTGCCCCACATTGGGAGTGGTTAGCTCCAGGCTGGGGTTCCGCCAATGGCATCGTACTCCCAAAACACGGCTGGGAAAAAATGAAAAGAAACCAACACGCTGCAAACCGACGGGGAAAATGACACACACACACACACACACACAGCACACCCACTAGCTGGGAAAACCGAAAAATCAGCTGCAAGCAAATGGGCGGTTTCCAACTTGAACTTCTCTTAGCCCCCAAAAGCTTCGCCCTGGGCCTCCAAATGCTGCCGCAGCTGCGAAGCCTCGCGCGTTCTCTTCCCCCACTCACAATACCCACTTACCAGGTGACTGAGGCAAGTTCCTCCTTTTAGTCAGGCGTTGTGATCCTACCCTGATAAATTTGCATATTGTGTATAGGGGGTCCCCGTTAATCTCACACCTTTCTGGGCCCGATGGATGGATTTGGGTTGCTCCTTGCCTCTACTTTCCACCAAGCTGACCCAAATGACACCGATGCTTCCGAAACGCGCAACTTAGTCCTAAAACAAACTGCCCCCGACAAAAAAAAAAGCCGTCGATGCCGGCCGCAAAACTCCGCGCTACCGGGTTACCGGCGGCGGGGTTCGATGCACTTGGGGGCAACGTAGGCCGGGAAGCATAACGCGCCCTTCACAGCGACGGCCCCGGTGGCCAAGACCATGACTGTTGCGCATGGGGCCATGACGCTCGCGGAAGTGGACCAAAAGGCGGGGAAAAAAATGTGTAGGCTCCTGGAGTCTGAGAGTGCCAGATTGGTAAATGCGGTCGAGTACAACGTGCAAGCGCTTCTGCGCTTGCCGCGAGCGCGCAAACCGCAAATGCACCATGCGATGGCATTCCCTGCGCTCCAAGAAGCCGTGCCAAGCAGGAGAAATGGTGAGTCTGATCATGGGAAGCAGTGGAACCAAACTGTTTGGAGTGACGATGTTTGCCGAAGGGGTCCGAGCCGTCCTTTCACATCTGACATGGTCTCCGCCCAAAACAACTTTTTAGGGTATGGAGGAAATAACCATACCCGCTTTGGGTTGAAAGTAAAACCAAGAGGGAAAACACCATTTGTTGCCCCCCCATTTTGATTTGACACATACCCCTGTACAGTTACTATGACCACTAGAAAAGAGGACACAACAAAATGCTGCTGGTTTCAGAGTAAAGCCAACCCAAAGGGGATACCTTCAAGGAAACACATCCATGTTGGTGTGAAATGACGACAAGGAAGGATGTCCCATGTCATCCCTAAAAATACATATGTTCATGGCAACCCCAAAGTGGCAGTTCCTTCCAATTTGTCACTGGGAAAAGCCACGGGTGCTCTACCTGTCGATGATCTCACGGTATCGAATTGGTTTCGTTTCGCAACCTCGGCAGTTTTTGGGAGCACGTTTTGGTGGCAAAACATCATTCCACGGGAATTTGCAACCTCACCTTCGATCTTAGAATGAGATCCACATATGAAGATGTCAACAGCAAAATATCTGATTGATGTCAACGCTCGGGTTCTTCATCAAGGATGCGTTTTCGCTGGGAACCATTTCTTGAAGGGCCTTGCCCCTCCAACAATTCCCGCGAGGGATAAAGGCAAGTAGCGACGAGCCAAAAAGCCACCTGCTTAAAGCGACCCTTTTGAACCGCAGGCACAGGTAATGTCTTAACTGGCCCAAATGTACCCTGTAACAATGGTCCTTTGTCAGTTGCTTTCTGGACCTCCGCCAAAAAATCACAAAGTGCCCCTGTAAACCCAGAAAGAAAGCTGGCCTCGGAAAAGGTATCCCAAACGGTCTGGGAAGGCCACGGCGCCTCGTGCTCCCGCAGCTCAGCTTCATTGAGCCTGCGAGTCTGGGAGCCGCTTGGGCGATTTGGAACCAGACGAAACCAGAGGAAACACCTACCCCCCCACTAACAGGGAACCCCGACAGGGGGGGTCCTGGTAAACCATTCTCCATTTGAAGGGATCCCCTGTCAGGCTCCATGTTCATTCTTGTGGCAAGTTTCTCACTGGAGTGTCAAAAACCCCACTCCCTTCGCACATGCCCTTGAAGGACCCTCTCAACAACCCAAAAAACATCGCCGCCAAGTCCCCGGGCGCCCCTTGGGTCCCTGTCTGCAGATCCAAAAGAACACGGGGGCTCCCTCCACTTCCTATTTTCGGGCGTCTCTCTCGCCTATCGCACCGTGTTGCAACCCGGCTTTCCTTTTGACACCCGGTTGCAGATCCAGCGCCCCTGGATGTTTGCATAAGTCTGTATCAAAGGGCAACCCACAAAACGGATGGTTTCACCTTGGTTCCCCTTGAAAAATGCTGGCGCCCTTTCCCCGAAAGGTACCCTCGGGATGAAAGGCAAACCTGTATTTGTGCTGGCAATATCACTGGGGCACTGACCAGAACTGATAAACAACTGTCCGTTGCTCATGTTGAAGAGGGGCCTTTACCATGAAAACCCAAAAATCCTCTTTTGGTGGGTTCCATGCGATTCGCACCCCGCCTTGGGAACATAGCAAAAAATCCAGCATCCAACATGAAGAGCCCACAAGAACATTTGGGTCTGCAGGGTTCCTGGAAGGATACATCCACAAACCTGCTTCATGCGGGGATCGTCTTTGCTTTCGCCTGGTCAATGTCATTACTTGTTTATATCCGCCGACATTGCTCGGCGTGTCGGACACCTAAGAGAGGATAGAGGATAACCCCCCCCCCTAACCCCCCCCCCACCCGACGTCTGATACGTGGGGGGGACCCCGGCAATTTGATGACGTTCCACTAAACGTAGTCTTCGGGGACCCGGTGTCGCAAAACAGGGGTCCCAGGCTCGATTCCCCCTGCCGGCTTTGCTGGCTTGGGCTTCCTGCATCCTTTTGCCGAAAATCTGGAAAAACTCTGTGTTTTTGGACATCCTCTTTGCGAAAACGCTGGAAAAACAGTGTTTTTTGCGGGAAATACTGGGGAGCAAAGGGGAAGTGCAAGGATACATACATACATACATACAGACATACATACATACATACATACATACATACATACATTACATACAACATCACATTTACATTACATACATTACACATCACATTACATACATACATACATACATTACATTACATTACATTACATTACATTACATTACATTACATTACATTACATTACATTACATTACATTACATTACATTACATTACATTACATTACATTACATTACATTACATTACATTACATTACATTACATTACATTACATTACATTACATTACATTACATTACATTACATTACATTACATTACATTACATTACATTACATTACATTACATTACATTACATTACATTACATTACATTACATTACATTACATTACATTACATTACATTACATTACATTACATTACATTACATTACATTACATTACATTACATTACATTACATTACATTACATTACATTACATTACATTACATTACATTACATTACATTACATTACATTACATACATTACATACATACATACATACATACATTACATTACATACATACATACATACATTACATTACATTACATTACATTACATTACATTACATTACATTACATTACATTACATTACATTACATTACATTACATTACATTACATTACATACATACATACATACATACATACATACATACATACATACATACATACATACATTACATTACATTACATTACATTACATTACATACATACATACATACATACATACATACATACATACATACATACATACATACATACATACATACATACATTACATACATACATACATACATTTACACATTACATTACACATTACATTACATTACATTACATTACATTACATTACATTACATTACATTACATTACATTACATTACATTACATTACATTACATTACATTACATTACATTACATTACATTACATTACATTACATTACATTACATTACATTACATTACATTACATTACATTACATTACATTACATTACATTACATTACATTACATTACATTACATTACATTACATTACATTACATTACATTACATTACATTACATTACATTACATTACATTACATTACATTACATTACATTACATTACATTACATTACATTACATTACATTACATTACATTACATTACATTACATTACATTACATTACATTACATTACATTACATTACATTACATACATACATACACATACATACATACATACATTACATTACATTACATTACATTACATTACATTACATTACATTACATACATACATATATGCATGCATACATACATACATACATACATACATACGAGAGAGGGAGCTTGGGGAGAGAGTGGCTTGGGGGGATGGGGAGGATGGGGAGCGGAGGGAGGGAGAGAGGACGACAGAACACACCAGGGAGACAAGGGAGAGAGGAAGAAGGAGAAAAGGGAGAGGACAATGTCGGCGGACTGAGCCGGAGGCTCTAAAGTTCAACTCGCCCCAAAGGTGCCGGGATACATCCACAAACCCGAAACGGTAACCACAAGTACTCTCACCAAGGCCGACGTCTTTTCTCGGCCGTCTGTCGCAAGCGAAACCACGCCTGGAGGGAATGGCGTACCTACCCATACAATCGGTCGAACCGTTCGTCTTCCCACCAAGCGACCGTGTGTTGAAGTGGGAGACTGGCAAACATGAAAACTCGACATTGGCTTCCTGCTGGACAATGAGAGACACGCGTAGGCCAGCTAATTTCTTATCCCACCCTGAAATATGAAACAGCCCTGGAGGCGACGAAGCCAAATCGGTGCAACAAAACAACAAGACCTGAGCTGAAGCTGATCAGCTCACTTGCAATGAGACTGGCTATTGCACGTTGAGATATTGATCTGAGGTGTTTGGTAGGGTTGGATAGTCTGGTGCAAATTGTTGTGCCCCCGCAAACCCAAGTGAGTGGTCTAGGTCACTGCTCAACCCTTCACCTGATGTACTTCTTTGCCAGCGTTTTGGGCAAGGGCGTTGGGATGTGAGATGGCGGCCGCCTCCATCGCTAAGCCCAGTGGCCACGGAAACAAGGTCCCGTTGGTTGTTGGTTTGATTTCAAGGGGAAGCACATCCCGAAGAGAAATGAAAGGCTGGGCTGGGCCCAAGATTTTATGGCAGGATTTGTGCATTTGTCACGGGACTCTAAGGGTCTAACCTTTGCAAAACGGCTCACTCCAAAGACAGTCGCAACTGCCAGGGTTGCTTGGCCCACATCTGGCATACACAGTTCTCTGCCAAAGTCTGTTTCATATTTAGTCTACACATGCAAACTAGTCTTGCCAGGGTTGCATGTCCAAACCTCGGTTGCTGTCTGCTCCCCTGCTAAAAGTTTAACTTTTAGTGGCTTAATGGAAAACCCATTAGTTGGCAAAAAATGTTCAAGTCCTAACGTCCCTTGGCAAAATGCACCAAAGAAACAGTTGCTTAAGCCGTGGCCAGGCCAATGTTTGCCCCTCGCTTCTCACCCCCCGTGCGCACTCTGCACCGTTGGTGGGGTAGCCATTGGCTTTGCCTCAGGGCGTGAAATGGACGAGTCCTCAGGCGGCTGCCCTCGGTCGACGGAATGTAAATCCGAGGACCCTAGTCAGAGGACCCCCCTAAACTAGATTGTGTCCGTACTAAGAACCCAGCCCCAGAACAGTCCGGATGAATCCGTTTTTTACAAGAATGGGCCCATGGGTACGGGTCAAAATGTTTGGGCCAGGGTATGGACCACTGGTTTAGTCCTTGGTTCCATTCACCAGGGCAACCCATTTTGGGTACCTATTTCTGACCCACCGCCATATAATGCGAACCCCGGGCAAAAGCCGTCGCTTATCGGTGAAGGATCCTCTTATGGCTTAGTTGCGCGAAACTAATGACCGAAGTCTCAAAGTGGCTATGAGTTCACATGTTTTTCGTCCTGGCAATCAGCCTTTGACTGAAGTGGAAACACAGCCTAAGGTGGATTCAGACACACTTGAGGCTCCGAAAGGAGAATCGCAAAGCGGGAGAATCTCCAACTCAGAACAAACGGTTCGCGGAATGGAGAATCCCGGGGATATGTGGCAAACCCCTCTGAACTCGAAAAAAAAGTCGCAGGGTATGGCTGAGAACCGCCAAGTCAGAGAACCATAGGTTGGTCCGTCGAGTTGCGGATGGTTTTGTTCTGGGCGAGAATCCCTTCCCTGATTTTTTGGTTGAAATTGGGGCCCCCGCACGTCTCCCAAACTAACAAACAACTGCACTAGGAAGTGTGTAAGCTCGTGTCATCCAACGCTCCTACCTTTGCTCAATGTTCACGTACTCAGCGCTTTGCAAAAGCAAAAACTCGAGGTGTCTGTCGTTCCAACTGGCACCAGTTCCCCTCACACTCGCAAATAACAAAGAATCCCACGCATTTGGCACGCCAAATTAGGGGTTGAAGCCCCTCAGTCCTCAAACCGGCTTTTGCCCCCGCTTTCTTCAGGTAGCCCACAGCGGCAAAGCACCGCAGCTTGAAACTCAGGGCGCCTCCCGAATTCGGCCCAGCGCCAGGACGGTCCTGGCCAAAAAGAGCGACTGCATAAAAACCGGCAGGGGAAAACCAAGGCCTCCCAACCCCCACAACCCAAACTGGGTTCTTGGAACCTCCTTAGAACCATTGTGGTGGGCGGGGGCCTGACGATTAGCCCTAAACGGGTTGGCCTGGTCGCACCCAGGCTGTTGTGGAACTCCTACTCGAAAGGCGGAAGTGCCATCCTGATGCGCACCCACAAATGCCCGTGTTGAAGGCTGACTCTGAACCCGCATGTGGGAACCATGTGGGGGGGAACCATGGGAACCATGTGAGAACCATATGGGCACCATGTGGGAACGTGTGGGAACCCTATGATTTGCTAACTTCTGGGTTCGTCAACAACTGCTTTTGGCCGCTATGGGAAACCAGCTAGATAGCATGGAGGCCAAGGGACCAAAATCAAACGGCAAATGTCTCATACAGCCAAGAAAGTTGCTGCTTCATCTCCAACATAAAATCTAGCATTTAGAAGGAACATTTCCTTCTTGGAGCCAGTTTCGGAGGTTGGGGCTACTTTGGGTTTGGGCTCGGTTTATGGGCACGAGTTTCTCATCTTAATCTTGTTCAGAGTAGGTTAAACTAGCTGACGGTTATCCAATAGACAGTGGTGAAGCCCGTGTCAATTTTCCTTCTCTGGCAAATCAATCATTTCAGGAGCCAGGTCAGGAGCCACTACTCCAGACTTACAACTAATCTGGGTTTTTTGCCATGTTTGGGCATTCGCATGCTTAGAGCACGCGGACAGTTATGGTATACATATACGCTTCCCCCTGACCAACACAACCCACCTGAGGCAGACATTTGGATTTTGGACCCACATTTAACCCGGATTTATGCGCATGGTTTTGCTATGGTCCGGATTTGAGTCCTCCTGCCCCTTCTGAGGCCCAAGCGTCGTAGCGAACCACCAAAACGTAAGTTTTCGGGTTTAATGTTGGTCAGTTAGTGTTCTTTTGGCACAGATTTAGTTTTCGTTTAGTGTAGCTTTTGACTTTTGAAGTGTCCCCTGATGGGAGGGGGATCAATTTGGAACGCCACGTGTGATGGGGCCAGCATGTGGCCCCAACCACACAAACACGCGCGCGCACGCAAACAGATGGGAGGGGCGCACGGGCAGATGGAGATGGGAGGGGCGCACGGGCACCAACCACGCGTGCACACGGGGACACAGGCACGCAGTCTTGGTTTTGGGGTTTGGGTCAACACGGTTTAGGTTGCGGGTGTTGGGCAGGGTTCACATTGGATTTAGGGCTTTGAATGAAAGGCGGCGCGGCTTTGAGTGTAGAGTCTAGGTTGTCCTCGGCTTATGAGTTAGGGTCTAGGTCTTGGCTTCGACTGTAGGGTCATACGCTTTACGACTTAGGCTTTGGATTAGGTTGAGTGGGCTGACGCCCCCTGTCTCCGGGAGCCTTGCCAGCTTTTCCAAGGTGCATCGCAGTTTTTCCAGGAAGGGGATGAAGGGTGTCTGCGCAAAGCTTGGAGGGTCGGGGGACGGGTAGGAAGGTTGCGTGGCCAAAGTCGCTCAACTTCGCGACGCCACTTCGCAACATGAACATTGCGTGGCAGGCTCTGTGTGTTTTCGTTCTTGCCCAAGCCCATGGAGCCTGAAAAGCTGCTCGTGCGACATCCTGCGTGGAAGTGCGCAACATCTTCATCCAGCAGCTCTACTCCGAGCACGTCCACTGCTGCTGCTAGCATCTGGAGGTCGCCTGCGGCAACGAACAATTTCAAGCACCCACCAACCCAGTGGCGTGTTGTCCGCCTCCTTTAGAATGGCCTCCAGCGGGCGCCTTGAGTGCAGAATCTTGGCCGTTGACCTGCGCTTGCTGCAACTCGTCATGGCAGGCCTTCACTTTCCACACGTCGCCGAATCGGCCGCAGCCCAGGAAGCACACAACCTCCCGCGCAACTGCACCGCATTCCTGCCACACCGCGCCACTATGCTGCGTGACTACAGGAAACAGAGAATAAGAAGCAAAGTGACAGACAATGCGTCTCTGCTTGTTTGGAGGGTTCCCGTTGCTCGGACTCCATGCATCTTGCCTGCTGGGTATGCTTACAACATGGGGCGATTCGCTCCCCACCTGCTGGACACACGGGTGGGATGGGTGATAAAACAAAGAATCACCCAGACCGTATTACGGTTATGGATTGGGTCACTTCAAACAAACATGAAAAATGCCAATCCCACATCACATAGAGGGCCCTCATACGTGTGCCTTGGCTTGCCCCCATACGTGGTCCCTCGCATTGTCCCCCTGCATGGCCTCTCCTGTGTGTGTGGACTGCCCCCCTTACACCACCACGTGGCTCCCCATATGTGGTCCCCCTTCCCAAAAAAGGTGGCTATCGGTTGCCATAACATACGACGTGTGATTCTCAAACGACGAACGCAGAGCTGGCTTGGGCAGCAGACTGCAAGGAGAATCACACATGCCCGCGGGCGTTGGAAGCAGAACTCGCTAGGACGAGGGAATGCTTGGGGGGATGAAAAGGCTTGTCCTGCAGACACACTACTACAAAAAAAAAAACAAAAGCCCAGATTATCGGAGTGGTCAAGAAGGACGAATCCCCACCGCCGGTTGTCCAGCTCGAGAAGCGCAAGTTGTTCAACGCAAGTAAAAGCACGCGAAGTACACTTTGACACCTCCAGCCTGGAGGTCGCACATTGACAGCTCCAGCTCAGAAGTGCAGCACTCGAAGTATACACCTTGGCAGCTCCAGCTCGGAAGCCGCAACTTTTGAGCACACGTGCGTGCAAAGTACACTTTGGCTGCTCCAGCTTCCAGTCTTTGACAGCTTCAGCTTGGAAGTCGCAACTTTTCAGTACAAGGCACGCGAAGGACACGGCGGCTCCAGCTTGGGCAACTTCTCAGTACAAGTGCAGCGCGCGAAGTGCGCTGTGGCAGCTCCAGCTTGGAAGTTGCAACTTTTAAGTCACACGGGCAAGCGGGCACATAGGCACGCAGCAACTACGCCAAACGCGCAAAACGGGCACACCTAGTGCATGGGCACGCAACAACCACACGTGCGCACGGGCATGCACCAACCGCACGGGGATGCGGGCATACGGGTACATTCACACAAGCACACGGGTATTGGCATGTGTCCGCTGCCTTGACCAGAGCCGCGCTCAAAAACGAGAATTTCCCCCGTGTTCAAAAACGAGCAGCAACACGCGTTCAACAACGTCTTGGAAAAACAGGCAAATACGGACTAGTAGGGCGCATTCATTGAATGGGGGAAGTGACTACTTGGCGCAGGTTTAGGTGGGTTCATAGTGTTGGCTCGTTGGTCGCAGTTGGCAAGGGTTGTGGGTAGAGGGCATCCTTGCCAGATTTTCGACGAGAGAGCATCGTACACAGGAGTCTTCAAAGCAGGGTTTGTCTCACCACAGGGGATCCAAAACAATGGTTGCTTTCCTTTTGGGTTCTCTTGAAAACCACTCCACATCCTCAAGAACGACACACCCGGGCTGCTCCAAAAATCGTCTACCGTACAGTCATATGCTTGGCAGAGCCCTACACGTGGAACAACAACCCCTCCAATTTGGAAAAACGGACGCTCTTGGGCCACGAATACCTGGGATCCTATCGCCAAAACATCGCCGCACCCCGCAGAAACTAGGCAGGGTAGACGAAAACGCAGTCGTCGTTCACTACTCCCAAAAGGGGAACCCATGGGTTTAAGTCTAGCTTGCGGTAGTGAAAAAGTGGAACCCTGAAAAGATCTATTCATTTTCAGAGCTCCGCTGTTGTTGCAACCAACAACAGCAGGGTTCACCTCTTTGAGACCAATCCAAACGATCACCCCTGCAACGTAGACCCCCTGTTGACCTTCCCATGGAGAAGTTGAGCTGCAACCAATTCCTCAGTTGAACCCTTTCGGCGCACAAAGAGCCGGGCTCCGAATCCCATTTCAAAGAACCCGCCGTTGTGTCCCAAGCAGACTTTGCTTTACCCTGGAAAATTCCTGGAGCTTTTCAGAAACAAGACATGAGGCAGCGCTCTTAACGAACCGGAGAAGAAGAAAAAAGACGGACAAAAAAAACGATCGTCATCTCTCCTGAGCTCTTTGGGCCTTGCCCAGATCAAGCGCAGGCACTCGAGGCGCCGCCTCAGCTTCCGCTTCCCTTGAAGAAGCGCGTCAGCGGCGGCTTTTAGAATGGTGTGGAAAAATGGCTGGGGGTCAATGAGTCATTCGGTCGCCCCATGGGCTCCCGAGTGATTCGGAGCATGTTCAAATGGCCGTGGCTCGAAAAAAACGGAATTCCGAAATGGGTTGAACCCGATCGGTAAGTGGAAACATGGACCAAACCTGCGGTTTGCCCCTCCTGGTTGATTTGAGCCACACCCAAATGGCTGTGGTTGTCAACACCCAGGAAACCCCTGGTGAACATCTAAGTAGATGGCAAATGGATGTCCATCCACCAAAATGGAGCCATATGCCCCATGGCCAAATCACTCAAATCGATGGCTGGACAAAGATCAGCCTGAGCCTTCAGTGATAGACTAGGGAGACAATTCGACAAGTATGGGTGCTTCAGCAAATGGAAGCAACCACTGCTTTGGAAGGCGGGCATGGGGTTTCGGGCATGGGGGTTTGGAGTCCAAGGACTGTTGAGGCTCCTTGAAATTCATGGCCATTCGTCTCTACACGCACTCAGGAATTGGTGGGTTCCATTGCTGGATTTTCCTTGAGAAGCACCCCCACAAACATCGGCAACCGTAACCTCAACAAACCACGCACCTCCAAAAGGAAGACTGCGCACTTGCATGGTTGTTTATGGAGGCTACCAACAGCAGATCCCGAGCTTGACGGTTGGAGTGAACCATTCTATCCCACAAAAATGTGGCCAGACATGGCCTGCGAAGCAGTGTGTGCAACACAGGATGCCCCTTTGCGTTAGCTCAAAAAATGACTTGCCAGGTATACAGAACCCCTGTAGCTAAGAAGAATCAGAGCGCGCTGGGCGGGATTTTTTTCAGTGTCGCTTGGGCCGGAGGTTGGAGTACTCTCTAACCCGGGGAGGACAACATCGGCTCCCGCTGTGAATGGTCGGGCTTCTCGGGTGAATCACTTCAAATATGATTTTGTCAGCAGAGGCATCAGGTGAACAAAAATGGCAACCCTCTTTCCAGCACCAAAACTTTTGACAAGCCTTCGGGGTTTTGGGCATGGGACTGCTCATCACGCTACCAGTCGCATTCAGCTGACCCTTCCGCACCTGGTGATCCGTGGTGACATCACCTGACGACTCTCGGGAAAAACAAGAAGAAGTGCGAAACCCGTTGTCTCCAGTCCCAAAGTTGAGTTGCTCAGAGGCTGGGGGCTTTGAAACCAACTTTACATCATGAGAACTCGCGTGGGATGGCGGGGAGCCCCCTCTGTCATTTTATCAAGCCTGGGCTGGTCAAACTGCACCCGTGCTCAGGAGACAGGGGCCGCTCAACCTGGTGTTTCCTTTTGGTTCCTTTTTGGACCACACATCTCAGAAACCCCAAGTGACATAGCTCGAAACTGGTGCGAAAGGCGCCTGCGTGGCCATAGCCCGCATCTGCATGGCCATAGCCCGCATCTGCGTAGCCATAGCCCGCATCACCTCGGAGCTTATGTGCCATGCTCAAATGCTCAGATTCATACCCTCCGGACAAATTGGAGGATCTCCTGGCCGTGGGCACTATCTGTACTCATGGGGCTGGAACAACCGGATACTTGAACTCACCACCGGCAGGGCATAAGCAGCGTCTGAGCAAATCACTACATGGGGGTTGGGGTGTTTTTTTTGACTAGCCCTGGTTTTTGGCTAACCCTGGTTCCAGGCACTGGCACTATGGGCAAAGTTTTACTCTGCGTCTTTGGCTCTTTCCTTTGCGACAAAAAAAAAAGAAAACAGAGCAGGGAGGTTGGGGGGGGCCGCCCCCCCCCATAATGGTTGCAGTAGTGATGATTCGAACAGGGGTGCAATTAAATCCCTGCAAAAAGTCTAAACAGTAGCGGGGGGGTTGGGGGGGGCTGCCCCCCCCCATGATGTTCGAAGAATTGATGGTTCAACTTGGGGTGCAATTAATTAATTCTCTGTAGAAAATCCAAAACGTAAGCGGGGGGGTTGGGGGGGGGCTGCCGCCCCCCCATGATGTTGGAAGAAGTGATGATTAGACATACATGGACTACACAGATTACCTCAAATGTCGTATTTTGCAGCATTTTTTCGCGAAATTGGACGCTCGAAAAAGTGATGATTCAAACAGGGGTGCAATTCAATCTCTGCCGGGCCAGTAAAGTGTCGTATTTTACAGCATTTTCTCGCGAAATTGACGCATTTTACACTAGCCCGTCAACATCCCCCGCATGTCCGACCAACATCCCTAGCATCACCAACAAATAGTGTGACGGAGTCAAAGAAATGATGATTCAAGTAGGAGGGCATGTCAATCCCTATAAAAAAAATAATAAAATTAGCGGGGGGGTTGGGGGGGGGGGCGGCAGCCCCCCCTACGATGTTGTTTGCAGAAGTGATGATTTGAATAGGGGTGCAATTAAATCTCTGCAAAAAGTCTAAACAGTAGCGGGGGGGTTGGGGGGGGCGGCAGCCCCCCCCATGATGTTCGAAGAACTGATGATTCAACTTGGGGTGCAATTAATCAATTCTCTGTAGAAAATCTAAAACGTAAGCGGGGGGGTTGGGGGGGGGGCGGCAGCCCCCCCCATGATGTTGGAAGAAGTGATGATTAGACATACATGGACTACACAGATTACCTAAAATGTCGTATCTTGCAGCATTTTTTCGCGAAATTGGACGCTCGAAAAAGTGATGATTCAAACAGGGGTGCAATTCAATCTCTGCCGGGCCAGTAAAGTGTCGTATTTTACAGCATTTTCTCGCGAAATTGACGCATTTTACACTAGCCCGTCAACATCCCCCGCATGTCCGACCAACATCCCCAGCATCACCAACAAATCGTGTGACGGGGTCAAAGAAATGATGATTCAAGTAGGAGGGCATGTCAATCCCTATAAAAAAATTAATAAAATTAGCGGGGGGGTTGGGGGGGGGCGGCAGCCCCCCCCACGATGTTGTTTGCAGAAGTGATGATTTGAATAGGGGTGCAATTAAATCTCTGCAAAAAGTCTAAAAAGTAGCGGGGGGGCTGGGGGGGGCGGCAGCCCCCCCCATGATGTTCGAAGAATTGATGCTTCAACTAGGGGTGCAACTAATTAAATCTCTGCAGAAAATCTAAAACGTAGCGGGGGGGTTGGGGGGCGGCAGCCCCCCCCATGATGTCGGAAAAACGCCACCTGCCGAAGAGGAACTGGGAATGCAAAAAATGCGAAAAGCCAAAAAGCCACCAAAAGCTGCATAAACCAGCAAAAAGCCGAAAAGCCTAGAAGCCCAGAAGCCGAGAAGCCAAGAAGCCAAGAAGCCAAGAAGCCAAGAAGCCCAGAAGCCCAGAAGCCCAGAAGCCCAGAAGCCGAGAAGCCAAGAAGCCGAAAAGCCAAGAAGCCAAGAAGCCGAGAAGCCAAGAAGCCAAGACGCCAAGAAGCCAGGAAGCCAGGAAGCCAGGAAGCCAAGAAGCCAAGAAGCCAAGAAGCCAAGAAGCCAAGAAGCCAAGAAGCCAAAAGCGAAAAAAATCAAAAAAAAAAGAAAAAAAGAAAAGAAAAAAAAAAAAAACCTAAAATAAATACCCCTCCTCCTTTTTCTGACCCCCAGGCCCCCTCTGCCCTGGAACCAACCCCCAGCCAACGAACCACCCAACCACCCACCCACCCAACCAACCAACCAACCAACCAACCAACCAAACCCGCTCACCCAGCCAAGCAGCCGACCAGCCCCGCTCACCCAGCCAACCAGCCGACCAGCCCCGCTCACCCAGCCAACCAGCCGACCAGCCGACCAGCCCAGCCAACCAACCAACCAACCAACCAACCAGCCAGCCAGCCAACCAACCAACCAACCAACCAGCCAACCCAACCAACCCAACCAACCCACCAACCAACCAACCAACCAACCAACCAACCAACCAACCAACCAACCAACCCAACCAAACCAACCAACCAGCCAGCCAGCCAACCAACCAACCAACCAACCAACCAACCAACCAACCAACCAACCAACCAACCAAACCCGCTCACCCAGCCAACCAGCCGACCAGCCCCGCTCACCCAGCCAACCAGCCGACCAGCCGACCAGCCCAGCCAACCAACCAACCAACCAACCAACCAACCAACCAGCCAGCCAGCCAGCCAGCCAACCAACCAACCCACCCAACCAACCCAACCAACCCACCAACCAACCAACCAACCCAACCAACCAACCAACCAACCCAACCCAGCCCAACCCAACCCAACCAACCAACCAACCAACCAACCAACCAACCAGGGTTGGGGCCAACCAGGGTTGGGGCCAACCAGGGCTAAGCAAAAAAAAACACACGACCCCTACATGGGTATGCGTCAAAAAATGGGGGGATCGGCCCAAATGGTCGCTTCCTTTTGATTTCCTTTGCCTGAACAGGACCCTCAAAAAACGAAAACCCACATTTGACAAATTCCAGATCCCAAGTATCTTTCCTTCAGTCAAAACGCCCCCGTTGCCCTCGATTTCGGTTAGCTCGTAAACCAACCCAACCAGAATGTGTAACAGCACTCGCGCAGTTGTCAGCGTTGACTGGAACTCAAGCTATTGCGCCCACTTAGTCTCCAAATACGCGCCACAATTACCTTGCACATGTTCAAAACCGAGTTGTGCATAGTGAATACCTCCTTCTTGAGCAGTCAACACCTCGTCAAGAGGCTCAAACTTGGAAAAAAACTTGCTTGCCTGACCCAGACCTCCGGTGAATGATTTCCATGGTTAAACAATGGATTTTGTTTGTGGTTGAGTCTTGAAGGGCAACCGTCTCCTGCAACTCTTGAGCGGATCGGCAAAAAGAACGTCCAGACCTCTACTTCAATGGTCGTCCCAAAAAGTATACACTCCAGCACCTCTTGCGCGTGTGTGTGTGTGTGGCAGATTTCTCTGGCCCGGCCCAGGGTGTGACCACAGAAACCCAAAAAAGAAGAATGTTTCAGGGGGATCTGGGTGATGCAACTCGGGGAAGAAAAAACACAGGGCCGACGCCGTCTTCTGGGCCGTAGTCTGGCCCGTAGTCTGCGCCTCAGCCGCGGCTTTGGGCACCCCTGGAACGCCCTTCTCACGTAGTGGCGAAACCGCGGCTATAGCAAAAACCGCCGGATGTGCCCGGTAAAGGGTACCATCCTCGTTGCGAACGGCTCTGACGGCCGAAACAAGCTGTGACTGAATATAGCGCCGGACTCCCTGAGGTTGCAGCATGCATACTCCATATAATCTGTGGCCACAAAGAGGGGTGCAGGGAACATGCCATATACAGCTGCCGGGTCGACTGCAACGCATGGTTCCTTTAAAGAGAAGCCGTCTCAAAAAAAGAAGAACCGCTCCTTTTGGTGTCCCCCCTCCCCAAAAGCAAACAAACTACATCCATTTAGGTGTGTCTTTTTCAAGGGAAATTTTGCAGGATGACGGTTTTCCTCTGAGGTTCCCCCTCAAATCACGAAAAAGGGGGTACCAACTCCCAAAAAGACGCGCTCGATTGCAGGAGTCTCCATAAGAGGCTTCCCGTCTAGGTCGGAAAAAGAGCCGCGGGTCCCGCCTCCGTCGAACCTGGCGATCGAATTCCGGGCGATCGAAGCAATGCATAAGAAGACTCGGCGTCCCGGTGTCATCTCCTTCGAATCAACATGGAACCCAAGAAAAGCGGCGCAGGTCCCAGGAGTTTTCTCTAAACAAGGTACTTTGGCTGCCAGGAAAAATCCGGCCGAGGCTAAGACTTGGGTGCGGCTGAGGCTACCCTGTGGATGGCCTAAAGGAAAACCAGGAGCATACCCATTTGAGGGACCGAGCATCTTTGGCTTGATGCAGAGAGCATTAAACAACAAAACAAAAACGAGCCGTCTTAACACACTCACAAGCAAACAAACTGACGTGAGCGGGTGGCTCATAAAATTGGTATCCTAGGCACTCCAAGGGTGGCTTTTTTTTCGCCGCACCCACTCTGGCCTACCTCCAACATTCCTCTGCAACATTAGTGTCCAAAAGAGTCCTCCCATCTGTATGTCCCTGATTCCCTGACCAAACAACGCCAAATCACCAGCGCCTGGCGGCGGCTGCCTCGGCCGGATGTGTGCCCTAGTTCGAGTGACCCTGGTCGATGGGCTGGGGGAAAG